AAAATTCATCTTTATACTGATGAAAGAAAATTTCAATTATATAAATACATCGATGAACCTAGTGTCAGTCGAACTCATTGGGAATTATCCATCTTTTTATAGCATCGCGTAAATAATTTTACAGAATTTCTAGTTCATAAAATATAACTTTTAAAAAGGTCGTGCCGCAAAATAGGTCACAAGGAAACCGAGCTTCTAAGTACTATTAAAATATTATGCTTCGTTACGGCATAAAAATAAATACCTGTAAAAATTACATAAAATGTTGTGTCTTATTCTATTTCTTAGTAACATAAATCATTATTATTAATTAATACTTTAAGATTTAAACAGCAGTACCAATACAGATGATTTTTATTAATTCTAAAACTATAGATACTAAATAAGAAATATCTATTGCAGTAAATAAAATGTATACGCAGACGTATTTTTAATTAATTATTGTAATAATATAGTTAATGGCAAGTGAGTCCTAAATTTAACAAATTTTAGTATCAACGAACACTTTATATCCTATAATCATACAGGAAAACAGTATGAATTTCGTAATCAATATGAACATAGGACGAGCGTCGTTATTTGACATACACTAGAAATTATTTAAAACTCAAAGTAATATAAAATAATTGCCATTGTTTTGTAATTGATGAAAGTAACAAAAATAAACACGTCTTTATGAAATATACCTGTGACCTACTTGTAATTGCTTTAATGAGTAATTTGCATGTAAATCAAATGTAGATATATTTTAACTATTCGACAACACAAACCGTATCGGTTACAAAATTAACAGATGTTTTTACTGTGTCACAATACACACAATTTAATCTTGCTGTTCTAAACAATTTCATTTTTATAGTTAATTAATATGGACGAATAATATTCTATGTTTATGAACAATATAAAATTAACAAAGGAATGTTGTAAACGCGGCATTTTTCGAGAGAACACAATGTGTTACTTAATCTGTACATAAATCGCGATTAGCACAATGTATTGTTTAATATACCACAGACACAAAAGAAAAGAAGTATGCCTGTAAACAAATTAAAGTTCCTCTAGGTGTATAACTGGTATTTGCAACAAATTAAAAAAAAGTAATAAGCATAATATTATTTACATAGATTATATGTCATCCAATAAATAATAGTAGGCTAAGTACCATGTAACTGTAGAACTATGCTAGCTACCTAGCTTAGCTACACTCCAAATGCCCCTTAAGGTAACAAATTATTTAAGGCAAAGAAAGATTTCTTCATAATCCTATGAAAAGCTTATTTAAATGTTTACAATGTGGCTTAGGTTACTGTTAACTCTAAATAAAAGACACTGAGTAAGGCTCTACTAACACCAGACCAAGTGGCAGGCACTGATTATTATTCTCTTTTTAATTTTTGCACCAATATAAATTTTTATTACTTACATACTCAAAAGTTATTATAAGCTTTACTCATAGTATTCTGTAAGAATAGTATGCTGTGAATGAATGTTTTTCAACCATGTCTCAATATGATACATGCAAAAATATGCACACTGCAAATATAGGCAGGATAGATAATTTAATTAATAAATATGGTGAATTTGAGTAAAGAAAACACTGTAATTGTAATAAATTACATACACTAATACTAAATTAATTTTATTTTGAACACTTGAATTAACTGATAAGATAGTTTGCAAAACAATTGTTTTCATGTGTATTATTAATATTAAATAAATTTATTTATTCGTTTATATTATGCAGAATTATAATCAAACATTTTTATGTTAGCTTATTGAAAATCATCAAGTCACAGACAAGGACATTATATATATTATATGTATATATAATATAATATTAAAATATAACATAATCTAATAATAAGATTAGTAATTAAGTATTTGGCCTTTGTAAAAATACTGCTTACAGGAATTTATATAAAAGTATTTTTTGTCTAAATACAAAAATGTTTAATATAATAATGTACACTAAATATTTTTCTGTAGCTGGTAGGTACACTATACATTTTGCTAATATGTAATACAATATATATGTAAATTTTAATCATCTTTAAACTCTATATATACAACAATAAAATGCCTTTCTAATAATAATAATAATAATATGACTTTTAAAACCAAGTTATGTGGAATAAGTTTTCTATATTATACTGGTTTATAATATTTTTTTATATTATATCAATAAGCCATAAATGCATTTCATAATATTATTAAGTAGAAAGTTATTTTCATGTACCTTATATCAGCCGAACTTTTGCCTTATTATATTATATTTATGAAACTATTCAAGCTTTACCACTGGTTAGATTTTTTGGAAAAAAGCAACTAAAAATAAATTTGTTGTACAACCCCATACAATTATGCATTTACATTTGAAAATTGAATTTACAGTAACTTTTCAGGAATATGTTTTGTCTCTAGAGGGTTTCCTTGTTAAAACAATTAAGCTTATTAAATCCAAAGTCTAAATTAATTGGTCCAGATAAGGGGAAACATTTAATATAGAACATGATAATTGTATTTACCTCTTCCAATGCAGTGATGGTTTGCCGGCATTGTGGTATTCGAGAAACAAACGTAGAGGTAGTTGGGGAATTGTAATCCTCTCGCGTTTCTTCGATAAATTCGCCAATGCCAATAAGACCCGGCATGGTAGCAGTGATCAAAGGAACAATCACTATACGAAGAACACCGATTTAGTTACGTATCACACTTCATTGTTCGATTAACTCAAGAAAATGCACGTATTATGTAGACCACATTTTTATTGCCTCACATAGAATCACTGCAGTTTCGTTTTCAAACATTTATTTCGTCCATAAAAATACACAATTTAACACACCCATCCGCGAAATTGTAAATGAATAAACTGAAGGATTATGACTTACAGACTTATGAATGAATGAATTGAAAGATTGTGTGTCACTGTCAAAACTCAAATGTCGAACAATGTGAGTGTTTCAAAACATAATTTATGCACTTCTGAACCGTAGACAGAAAATAAGATAGACGTAAGACTACTCACCGTCTACAAAACTGTTGGTGCCTTGTTCGTATAATTACATTGAGATAGATATAGTTTGATATAATTATATATATAGCAGTATTCTCATGTACATAATATTGTGGGTAGTGTAATGAGAATAACAGCTAATCGCCGCGTAAATTTATAGGACCTGTTATTTTCAGCAATATTATAATAATTAATAGAGCTACTCATGTAGCTACGTACCTAATCAGTAACTGGTAACTCTTAAACAGCTAGGCATCACTAGTGTAAAAAAATGTTATGTTATTTTTTAATGTCTATTGCATAAGGAGATAAAATTATTCAAAAAAAAATGTGAGTTGTGACAGTTTACACTTCACCGTGTATTTATTGGGCGTGTTTGGCCGAAGTAAGTACTTACTAAACTTAGTAAGCCAATAAGCATAAAAAAATTAAAGTCTTACAAGCTGACTGTAGCGCTTTTCGGCCAGGACAGACTTACTGGCTTATTAACATAACACAAAACACCGGTTTATGTCATATCCCGTACATAACCTCATAGACTGAATATAATTGACAGTACTAAATTTAGGAATATAATTTAATACCTGTGAATAGTTTCAAATGGATAATTTTATGAGAAATATTTTATTGGATATTTTATTGTCCGTTTTGTTTACATCAACAATAAGCAAAATGGCGTCGTATATTAAGCCATACTTACTGCGTTAGCACTTATTTTGTGTCCCGGCCGAAAATTTTGTAAGCATAGTAAGTGACTTACTAAATTTAGTAAGTACTTACTTCGGCCAAACACGCCCATTGTATTTAAATTTTTAACTCCACAGTCCACTCCTCTCTAGTCTCTAGTTTATACTTTATTTCTGTACGCCTCAGCATTCTGTGGCAATAACGATGACGGAGTTGTCACGAGGTATATTGAAGTATCTCAAAAAATTGTCTAATGGAATAGATTTAATAGCGTAAATATTTTCCTTGTTACATTACAGAAATCGGTGAGGTGTGGTCAAGATTATTTGACCATAGACCATTTCTTAATGGCGAGATAAAGTTTATGCTAAAGGAATTCGAGGTAAGCATCTGTACGCAGCGACTCATATTATTCTTATTATTTAATTATCACTAACATTCATCATTATTTCAGGAAAAACGAGGGGATAGAGAAGTAGAAAACTTGTTCAACATCCTTGAAAACATAACTGATATAAAAGATACTCAAGTTGACAAAATCCACCGAATTGGGTCAACAGCATTACCAGTGTTAAGCGAAAAATTACAACAAGCATTGCTGTTGACAGAGGATATTGAGAAGATTTATACAGACATACAAAAGGTAATATTATATTTCATTTTTTTATGGGCAGGGGGCAAACAAGCTGGTGGGTTGTACATCTCAATTGATAGTATTGTTGGTTGTAAGCAAGAGGTCACTGGAAAGCAGTAAGGTTGCCCATTGCACTCTTTGATTATCTATGACGTTTTCTTATTGAACCAGATTTCTTATGAAATGAATTGTTACCATTGATTTGATTCCCATTAATGCAGTCAACACTTGGAAGCTTGTGGTTGTGTTGCAGGCCATTTGATTACATATGTAGTTAACCCTAGTGTTTTTTTTAATTCCAGGATTGTGCAAGGAAGCGCCTTGAAAATAAGGAGAATAGAAAAAAAGAATGGGACCAATTTATTGATGATATGAACTTTAAATGTCAAAGAATTGATAACACATTTGAAGAAAAGGAAGAAGAATTAAGGGATTTGTATGCAGATCTTAATCACAAGTTGAATATAACAAACAAATAAAAAAATGGATCTAAAGGGCCCCCTTGTCAACACTAATCTTAGAATATATCCTTCTCAAAAGTTAATAGAGTTTATTAAAACTATTCCAGTAACAAAAGAAGTTCCTAAAAATATTGTTACATATATCAAGAGTGAAAATAAAACCAGTTTTGAAATAAACTATGATGTTATTGATACAAAGCAAACTATGTTGACAGAGACAGATTATAATATTATAAATAAAATAAAAACATTAGTTGAATCAGATGAAACAACTAAAGATAACAATGAAATAAAAGAAGATGTTAATTGTAATAAAGATTCCTCTGAGTTAGAGGACAAAAATGATATAGTAAATATACAAAGCAAAAAGGAAGAACAAGAAGAAGCTGTACCATTCCTTACAACCCCTGATTTGGATTGGCTTTATATTTATTTAAAAAGTAAACATGACAAGGGTGAAAAAGCACCATACTTACATGCATTATTACAATCATCTGAAATTAAAGTACCTAAAAATAAAATACTTAAAAGAAATCCTGATTTAGAAGCAAGGTGTGTCAAACTGCGTGCACAACAAGAGGCAAGGGAATATAGAAAAATGACAAAAGGTGTAGATAATGTAAGGATCCGTTATCCAGAGGACAGTATTTCATATCAAAGTAAGTATATTCAATTTAAATACATTAGATAGTTAATTTAATTCTGTAATAACTATGTATTATTTATTCTTTCAGTTAAGCAACTAAATCGTCATTTGATTGCAATTGGACAGTTCTTACTATCAATTTTTGCTGGATTTCTCTTTGGATTTCGGGGTATTGAATGGATAGTTGGCAACTTAGACTTCGGATTTAGGCTCTTACTTGGTGTTATGTGTGCATTAGTTATTGCTCTTGCTGAAATATACTTCCTGGCTAAGAAACTGAATGAAGAATTATCAGTACCAGAAACTGTTCAGCTTGGTGGACCTGTCAAGTTTGCTAATGAAGTCAATTATGTCACTGATAATAAGAATGCTATTACAAAAGAACATCAGGATTAGATACTTAAAGAAATCTAAACCTTAATGAGATATATCTTAGTATATAGATATATTATACAAGATATAAGATATATATAAAATACATTATTTTTAGTTCCCAAATGTGCGCTATTAACTTTGTTTCCATATCTGTACCACAGTGAAGTAAACCCCTTAAAGCTTTGAATGACTGTATTTATTTTTACTATTATATATATATATGTTACAAGAAACTTTACAGAGACAAAACACGAACAACTTACAAAATCGAAACAGAAACTGTAGACTGCCACTCTATAAAACCAATTCACAAAACCGAAGTAATAAACTCAATAAAAAAGCTGAAATTCGAAAAAAGTCCCGGATCTGACAATATCACAAATGAATCGCTAAAATATGGTCATCAAATTTTGGCAGAACCATTAACTGAACTGTTTAATTCTATACTTCTAAGTTCTGAAACGCCCATAGAATGGTCTGAAGCAGATATCGTTCTTATATATAAAAAAGGCGATCCAAAAAATATCAGCAACTACAGACCAATCAGTTTGTTACCAAATATATACAAACTTTTCGCATCCATTATAAATAATAGACTAAGCCCGATAATAGAGGCAAAACAATCTGTAGAACAGGCAGGTTTCAGAAAAGGGTACTCTACTATCGACCACATACACACCATAGAGTTAGTTATGGAGAAATATCAAGAATTTCAGAGACCTCTTTACATAACTTTTGTTGATTATCAAAAAGCTTTTGATTCAGTCATACACAAAAGTATATGGGAAAGCTTAAAAGAACAAGAGGTGCCAGATAAATACATAAAGGTGATTAAAAGCATATACAATAACAACAAAGGAAGAATAAAGCTAGAAACTTTAGGCCCCGCCTTCCATATAGAAAGAGGGGTAAGACAGGGGGACCCGCTCTCACCCACTATTTTCATAGCAATACTCGAAAACATCATGAACAAATTAGATTGGAGTAAAACAGGACTCTGTATAAAAGGCACCTACCTAAGTCACCTGAGGTTCGCTGACGACCTGATCCTTCTGTCAGAGACAGTCAACGAGATGCAATTCATGATAGAATCTCTACAACAGGTGAGTGCGGAAGTTGGTTTGGAGATGAATCTAACGAAGACAAAGATAATGAGTAATACACGAAAAAGACCTATAACTATCAATGGTAACCCTTTAGAGTATGTAGAAAATTATACTTACCTGGGAAAAAGAATAAGTTTCGAGGAAAACAGTAACATTATAGAAATAGAGAGAAGGGTCCAACAAACCTGGAATAAATATTGGAGCCTAAAAGAAATATTTAAGAGTAACCTACCAATAACTCTCAAAGCTAAAGTTATGAACTCATGTCTACTACCCAGCTTAACTTATGGAAGCCAGACCTGGAAATTCTCTACACAAGCTGTGAATAAAATCAATGTATGTCAAAGAGGTTTAGAGCGAAGCATGTTGAATATAAAGAGAATGGACAAAATAAGACATACAAAGATAAGAGCCGTCACTAAAGTTACAAACGCTTTAACTTTTGCCCGAAAACTGAAATGGAATTGGGCTGGCCATGTGGCAAGAATGTCTAGCAGAAAGTGGACCAAACGAGTTACCCAATGGAAAGGACCACCAGGCAAGAGGCGGAAGGGGAGACCCTTAGACCGCTGGGAAGATGATCTGAAAAGATCAGCTGGCAAAAACTGGCACTCCATAGCACAGGACCGACAACAATGGGCATCTTTGGAGGAGGCCTTTACCCAAACCGGGGTTCCTGTTAAATAAATCCTATAAATATATATTACTAACATAATTTAAGCTAACCTACTAACAAATCAATATTTTTGGTAACTTTAATATAACAACTACCAACTTTTGTAAAACAGGAAATAAAAAAGGCTTTATTATTATTATTATTATTATTATTATATATATATGTATATATTTTTATTTATTGTTAAAAAAAATCAAAGGATTTTCAAACATTCAAAAAAGAACAACTGTCTAAATTGTAATGCGTTTTGATTGAATCACAAGTAAGGTAATCTATGAATGGTATTATTAAAATTGTTGGAATTAGTAAATCTTTCTAAAATTTGGCTTTATTCAACTAAAAATTTATCTACAGGGAGAATGAGAATGTTCCTGCATCTCTATACAAAAACATTAGTGTGACAAATATCTTACAGGATATATTGTTATATTTATTCGGGAAGGAGGATATATTACTCAAAATTATAACAATTATATCTTTGAAAGTATTTATTTCCTCAATATAATATATTACTTATTGAAATATTCAAGATTTGAAGCCTCTATTTCAACTAATACAAGAGAAAGTTTACAAAATATAAATGTATATAAAAAGAAAAAGTTCTTTAAGATGGTTTTGTTGCACAGCTGCAGCTGTCCTCTTGTACAGCTTGCCTTTGTCGCACAAAGGCCTCCTCCAACTATTTCCAGTGCTTCCTAAATCCTATCCCTGGCATTGTAAAAAGCATTAGTTTAATTTTATTGAAATATACAATACAATAATTATTGGGAAATTTTATGTTATGTGAAGTGCAGACTGAAAGTTGAATTACGCCTTTTACTTCAATTTTTTTTATTGTATATTTATAAAGCAGACTCCAGACTCTCACAATGTGCCTCGTCGAGGCCCTCGTCACGACTATTCACTATAGGCGAGTCAATGTTTATCGCTCGAGTGCAGAGTGGTAGCCATCCAAATTCCAAACTCGCTTTATTTAGTTGCTCGCTAGTCGCTACGTCTACGACGTGATTGGAATGACTTGGTTAGCTACTTTGTGTCTGTCTACCAATATTACAATGCCTTGGGCAATATCACAAATATAAATGAAGTACAAATATAATTTAAGATTTTTCTTTCTTGATGCTCTTAAGCCTCGCCCCCTTGCGTCCTTTGACCCGCGCCTCAAAAAGCGGAGAGGCGGCACGAGCGCACCGTCACCGCTCGCGTCGCCTCGTGGCGAGTATGGATGCAGGATGAGCAATAATAATCTATATTACAATTATTCATTCAATGCACATTCTTAAGCTTGATAGCTATATTGATATGATATTATACAAAGAATATTTTGTTTTGTTTAACCAATCTTAGTAAATAGTTTTATGTGAAGTTCTATAGAAAAAGAGAATATCAACGTAACATATTGGACAGGCTGAAAAAACATGTTGCCTTTTATATTTACTTAAAATCATAAGCCACCGATGAAAATTGAAATCTGCCGACTATTGATTGATTTATTTTTTTTATTAATGGCTCTGGCACGATTTGTGCATTAGCCAGCGTCAAGTATAGGATTTTTTATAATTCGTGCTTGTCTTAAGAAATTCGACCGTGTCCTCCATGTACAAATTTAAATTAAATTAAAACTCGCCCTCGAACCGGGAATCGAACTCGGTACCCCTCACCTATGACCTAGCTGCCACTTAATAAGACCGCTAGGCTAGGCTATGAGGCCCCTAATTGATTTAGTTTTTAACAAAAATGTATAAAGCTATTAGGCCGGGATATAGTGACACAAAATAGTTGGTCATTTGTACCAATTTGGCGGTTCTACAGCGGTATTATTACGAAATAAAAAAAAAGGATTTTGATGGTCATAGATAGCGCTGGTACCGGCGGCCCAAGCGTGTGGGCGATGGGCGTTAGTCGAACTCGTCGGATTAATACCGACTTTCAAAGGATTTGTTCCACAAAAATTCTAGTATTATCCGATAGTCCATAAAAAAAATAAGAGGCGGCAATGTTATGCCATACTTCTCCGGTGTGACTTACAGCCCACCATACCGACGCGTATGCGTTGATTAAAAAAAAATGTGTGCGTGTACTAGGTGTACAAACGTAAGAAGTGAAACTTATATAAAACCTTTGTTGTACGCAGAGCCATAATTGGTTTGTTTTAAGTTTAGAAGTCCGAAACTATTTCTTTAAACACAGTAAATTTTGATACACTGCCTAGCATACAATTTACAAATTAATTGCTGCTAATTGCGATTAGCAAATTTCAAGTCGAAAATGTAATCCGTTGTCAAACTTCAAAGTCAAAAACATACTATATGTCATATTTTAACGCCGATAAAGAAGTTTGACTTCGAAAATGTAATCCGTTGTCAAACTTCAAAGTCAAAAACATACTATATGTCATATTTTAACGCCGATAAAGAAGTTTGACTTCAAAAAGCAACATGGCGCGTAACGGAAAAATGTGACGCGTAACGCAAAAATGTTACACTAAATTTTTTTCCAACTGTTTGTGTCTGTGTGAAAAGAAGTTTCACTTCAAAAAATTCAAGCCGAAAAATCTGCAAAAAAAATGGCAGTATGGCGGCCATTTGGAACCGTCCGAAAAGTATGGCATGGTGATTTTCGTAAATGGCTGCACGACGAAGATTAACTGTGCAAAAATTAGCCTGGTACAATTGGTTGAACTTTTCTTTAAATCAATGCATTCGCGTCGGCATGGCCGGAGTAGTATGGCATGACACTGCGGCCTCTAATTTTTTATGGACTATCGGATAATACTAGAATTTTTGTGGACCAAATCGTTTGAAAGTCGTAATTGATCCGACGAGTTCGACTAACACCACCGCGCTTGGGCCGCCAGTACCAGCGCTATGACCATCAAAATTCTTTTTTTTATTTCGTAATAAGACCCCTGTAGAACCGCCATACTGGCACAAATGACCAACTATTTTCTGTCACTATCTCCTGGCCTATATCTTTACCTCTACTAAATCTGTGGACCTATCAAAGAACTCCAAACTTGTGGTTCAACTTAAAACTCAAAGTCATAAAATTGGACCTGTTTTTCGTAAACGAAACTCTGAAATCGTATAATTATTATACTATATTGCACAACTATTTAATTTGTCTTCATAATATTATTCTCCAATGTTCGGTAAGTGGTGAATCATTTTATACTAACGACGCGTACTCAAAAGTCCGTTTACCTACTACATATATAAAAGTGCGCCCGTAATAACATCATTTGTAGTTTGTACTCGTTCTCAGTGAAAGGTTGTTGTGTTTACTACGTATTCGCTGTTAAGACCTTGTTTATTCCGTTTTTATCAGAAACTAAAGGTTGGTTTCCTTATTACTATACAGTTAAATCACTACAGCAGATGCCAATTTAAATTGAATTGCATGTAGTGTTCATATTTTAGTTTTCTATCAATCAATTTTAATTAGCAAATCAAAATGGATTCTAACTCAAATTATTGCTTCATCACTCTTATATGTAAAATTATTACAAAAATAAATAATATACTGATGATACCTGAATGTAAATAATAGTTGTAAGAATATTCTTTTAGCTTTAAGAGCAACAATGGAGGTACAATTTAAAGTCTATACATTTTGGAATGAGAATGATAAGCCAGAAGTGAGAAGATTTGGGATAGACAAAAGTGTTGTAACTAGCTTTCAGTATTTGAATGCTAAGCTTCAAGATATTTTTCCTAAATTGAAAGGAAAAACATTCTCCGTGCTTTGGAAAGGTATGTTTTGTATTAAAAAAAAAATCGAGCCTTCATATGGTACAATTCTTTTGTGTTCCTATTGAAATATTAAGATGATGCAATAATAACAAATATATTAAATGCAATGAAACATTCTAGGCCTTGAGAGTTCGTTGCTTCCACACAGAGTGGATTCACATTCCTTTTTATCATTATTACTAAAGTTATGAGTATATAAAGAATTTGTTAGGTAAGATTAAATCTTTAGCCTTTTGCTTAATTTTTACTTAATTTAATAGATGAAGAAGGTGATGATGTGATGATTTCATCGGATGATGAAATAATGATTGCACTGACATCAATGTCTGATGATCTTAAAAAGCTCTATGTCTACTGCAAAGACCCTGGAGAACAGCATGATGAGTGTGATATTGTAATTACTTCAGTAGCTGGTAATGGACAGAGTAAGTTTGTTTTATAGGCATGTAACACAGTAAAAAAAAGGCTTCAGGCTTGTTGTTTTAATTTTCCACAAAATTGTCAAATTTAGTTTTAAAAAATATGTAAGTACATTAAAAAGGCCAATTTTTTAATTATAACTATGGTTGTTCTTGAAAACCAGTAATTACCCTTAGTGAAATAAGTGAATAGAAACTCTTAATTACTGTTGTGGCATAGTTAACATGCATAACATATAAGCAAGGTTTGATTTCTATCAAAACAGTTTCTATTATGATTTTTAATATAAATATAATTCTGCCTAGTGCTATAAGACTTCACAACAATTAATACTTAAAAAAACCCTTAATAGGCAGTAGCAATGTCATACACAGTGGTGTGGTGTGTGATGGTTGCGACTCTCCAGTAACTGGTTTCCGCTACAATTGCACTTACTGTGATGACTATGACCTGTGTTCCAAGTGTGAAGCAGCAGGAATGCATCCCGAACACTGTATGGTGCGAGTACCAGTACCTTCTTTGCCTGTAAGTGCTTTTTACTTTTAAATAAACTTGAGAATAAGTATTAAAGGGCAATAGTAAGTCAAGGACACATTTATATTCCACAAAATCAAATTATTTCAAATTCTACATTTTATAAATTTGAATGCTATTTGACAATAAAAATATTAATTTTGTTTATCATATCAAAATAGCTTGCAAACACATCTATATATAAAAAACATGTCATATGATTTCCTGATTCAATCGACTGTCCGACTAATCATGTTCTGTAAGCGTGACTAATAAAGATTAACGTTGCAGCGCCCCATGATCAAAGCTGCTGTAAAAAGGTCGCGTTATTTCTTAAAATCATTACGCACGGTTGAAGAGCAATGCAAGAAACAACGTCATGAGGGCGAAAAACAGCGAGAGCATACCCATGGTCATGGTCACGGTCACGGTCATCGTCGTCAAGGGCGCGATGACCACCGCCGTAAACATATAAGCTGGCTTGATATCTTTGCCTCATCCTTAAATGAATTCTCAAACCCCGCCGGTGATATCCGTGTTGCGGCTCAAACCAATCCAGGAAACCAGGAAAATGTAGGGCAGAACGCAGCAAAGTCCCAAGAAGCTACCTCTAGTGCTGCATCAGGCGAAAACCCAAAGCCTCCCCAATGTCCCTTCACAAGTGACAAAGCCTATATTGAAAATTTTATAAGGGATTACGTGTTGGGAATACCCAAGCCATCAACATCTAAGCCGGATGTAGAAATCGGGCAGGGTGATAGGAAGACAGAGAAAAATGAAAAGCCTGATGGGGCCATGTCAAAAGCAGCTGAAGATTCTACGTCCAAGGCAGCTCAAGATTCTACGTCCAAAGCAGCTGAAAGCAACAAAGATGAATCTCCTGATAGAACTGATGGCTGGACTGTGATTAACGAAGGTAAGATAATATCAGTCTTTGACCCAATTTTTCAATCCTCAAAAAAATACTAAAATTTCTCAGGTTAAGAGAACATGCAACCGCAACAAAATACCAAAATTTATTCGTGAGTATGGAAAACCAGTTTTACCTGTGTGGTACGCAATGTTTGTTTTAATGCCGTGAATGACACAAAGCGTGTTGATTTAAACATTTCACTGATTAATTGAATAATGAAGCGAAATTAAGTCAAAAATCTCATTGCATTGATTATTTTGACCTGTCTGGCCGACAGGTCAAAATAATCACAATTTTCTAGTTTTTGGAATTGTACTTTATCTATTCATCACAATCGTGTGCGACTTCCTTAAGGAATCGTAATTAATTACGATTCAAATTCCGTTGTGCTCTTATTATTAATCGTACTTAATTTTAATATGTACAAAATGACACATACAATCAAGAATGCGTTTCTAAAGATTTTTAAACAGCTTTACCAATTCTATTATAGTTCTTCTTGGATGGTACATTTTACATAGAGTTCCTTTTTTGATTATTTGTGTTATTTTCGAAAAGTCGAATCATCAGTTCAATAATAATATATATATCTAGATGTGATGGAAACAGAGGCAAAGGGGACTGAACCAGAACGTCCCATTGGCTTTAACTTGCCTGAAGAGTTCCAAGAACGAGTGCGCATTAGCGAAGGGCAGAGTCTCTACCCGCCTCTTAACACTGCGACTGCTGGTTAGTAATTTAATACAGGTTTCATATTTCATATTTTAATACCCTCTGCTATATTCGGTAATTGTACTACTAATATTATAAAGATTTATTTTTTATATGTTAGTGACGAATAAATGAAAAAAACTACGGTCCGATTTTAAAATGTATAACCCATTCATTGTTATATATATATAATATGCCCAGACTATACGACTATATAATTAATGATTTTATGGCTAAATTAATTTACCAAATATAAAAAAAATGTCTAGCTGTCGGGGACATCTAAAGTAGATTTTTGTGAAAGAGCTATTCACATTTAATCTTAATATAACGAATCAGTCTTGCTACTTGGTAGTCATGGTTTAGATTGCTGTATCTCTTCATTTTCATGATCATTGATTTTTAACATTTAGTGATGAATCCCAAAGAAGCTGCGATGGACCAAGCAGCAAAGCCCAGTGCTCCGGAAGAACCTGAAAAGGAAGCCGCAAAGCCTAAGGTTGCTGAATCGAAACCCAAGGATGCCAAGCCTGAGACTGCTCGTCATCCAAGTAAGCATGTCTCCATTAAACTCTTTTTATTTGATTAATTCATCAAATACCTAAGCTTGAAGTTTTCGATAGTTTTGCCAAGAAAACTTTTTGCAAATAACGTTAATCTGAGGATATTTACGCTCTATCGTCGATATCAGTTAATTTAATAAAAATTTAATTGTCTAACCGTGTGTATACTTACAATCATTTAAATTAAATCGCGTGAAGTGAATTCTTGACTTTTTTTAAATATTTTTTTATGAGTTCTTGAAAAACCGATGTACTTTACAATAAGAAGTAAAAAAATATGTTTTTTGGCTATAAAGACATGATTTTTACACTTTTTTAAATTAAATAAAGTTACAAATATCTCTTGCAAAAATCACATCTTAAATCATGCTCTTCTGGGCATGCTTTCTACGATGTTTTTAATAGGTCAATTGGATTGAGGTCTGGACCTTGAGCTGGCCAATCTAAACGACGGAACTCAAATTTTTGCACGTACGCTGCCACGTCGCCAGAACGGTGCGGGCAAAAAAGTGGGAACGTATTCCTGAAAACGTTATAAAAAACACCTTGAAATGAATGCCTAGATGGATTTAAGCTGTGATTTATTACATTTGTAATTTTATTAATTTAAAAAAGTTAAAAATCTTTTTGGCTTTATTGTCAATCACTTCTTATTGTCCATCAGTTTTAAAGAATTCAGTTCACGCGTAATAATTAACACGATCACAAGTATACAGACTACGTCAGACAATTAAGTTTAATATAATTAACTGAAATCGACCTACAAATTAAAACTCCCGGCGCCATTTAAAAAAGTACAAGTTTACTTTAAATAATAACATAAATTTATCGCAATTTTTCAAATATCATGATTCGCCGAGTTTTATTTTTAGTTCTGAGTCACTGCTCCAATTACACATGCATATTATGTAGGCTATACATTTTTAATAGCAATATACGCATACAGCGACGAATTATCGCAGTGCATTCTTATTATTTTAACAAGGTCAATTTTTTTTAAAACTTGACTCATTTTAGTTGTTGTTCAGGAAATTTGTTATAGTACTAATCTAGTAGCGCTACAACGCTATGTACCCATAGTGTACTTGGCCTCAGATTGCATCCGTAATTGCTTTGATTACACTTTTTCATAGACAAGTAGGTGATGAGCCTTCTGTCTGACACATGCCGTCGATTTAAGACATTATGGTTTCTTCACGATTTTACCCTTTACCAGTGTTATATCAGCACATAGACAGAAAGTTTATTGGTGCACGGCCGGGGATCGAACCTACGAACTTAATCAACACTGCTATTTTAAAAAAAATATTATAAATGCACTTAAAATCATTTAAGCTAGGTGACTAATTTTCACTACTCAGTTGTTTTATAAGGAAATATCTTTTTCAGTGGCTCACATTCAAGCAGCTCTAGAGCAGATGATGTCAATGGGTTTCACCAACGAAGCTGACTGGCTCACACAGCTCCTTGAGACCAAGGATGGCAACATTTCTGCAGTCCTTGACTTGCTTACCCCCACTAACCCTAAGAAGTAAATGCCACTTGGCATATAAACTGCATTATATTCTCTAAAAAATATTATGTATTCCTACAGTAATATATAAGTAGGGTGCTTCTTAATTGGACATAATTTGTTCTTATGATGCGTGTGCTTTTACCCACGGGGTAGTGACCCCTAAAAACTTATCTAAGAAATAAATAAAAACTATAGGTTCGTTTTTAAGGTGATAGAAGCGAATGGCGGTCTGGCGCAGTAAATTTTTCAGAAAATTTAAAACTAAGAAGCACCCTAATAAGTATTACAAATTTAAATACATAAGTGGTCAGTATGGATTTTTTATGTCAAATGGATAATTTGTGACAAAGAAATATAATATCTTTTTATTTGAATGGAATTATTTAGTCACAGAATGTACTCATGAGTAAATCTGCAATCTAAAAGGTATTTTCTAACTTAGGTAATAATCAGCTGGTCTGTTAAATAAAAAAGCATAAATTTATTATTATTAAATTAATGTTACTGTCACTTATGTTTTAAATGTTCTTGTAGGTTCTTTATGTGGACCTTGCCTAATATATTGCTTTATATTCCTTTAGAATGGGATGTTTTTAATTTAATATTATTCTTTCAAAAATATTGTGATAAGTGATTGATTACAGGACTGTATTGTGATATTTGGTGGTGGAAATGTTAGAATAATTGATTTTCCCTCTATATAATCTAATAAAGGTATTTCGGTGGCCAATATTGTTTAATTTCACCCTAAACCCCATTTACAGACACAACATATATTTTTGATTTTATTAATAACTATATGTTATTGTGCTTTATTTGAATACCGACGAAAATATTTAGTTTTTTTAAATGGCTATAGAAACTTTTTATTAATATATTTTTTGACAACTTTTAATTGAATCAGTACATATATTTATTGTGATAAGTTCACAATTTAGAGACGCCAATTAAAGAAGCGCGATGAGTAGCAGATGCAAGTGAATCTTGCATTGTTTTTAGTATAAAACTTAAATTTTCCAAATTCAGATAAAGCTTATGTGATTTAAAAATTATTGTATTCATAATTTTTTTTATATTTTATTTTAAGAAACCATATGAATCTTTTTTATATGAACATACATCTTCTTTTTCGCGCAATAAAGATCTTCCCAATGCACTATCTAGACATTTTGCAGCAATGCTGTAACAAAATAATTAAATTAAAAATACAATTTCTTTCTAGTTTGGAACGCTATTGTGTATTTATACATAAATCATTGAAAACACATTTTAATTTAGCATGACTATACTTTAAAATTAGAAGGACCACCTAAATTATGAGATGTGGGCAAACATCATATTATACATAAAAGATACAAAAATTATTAAAAATATAAAATAATTAACTTACATTCCCTGACTAATAGCACTCTTCAATGTATCAGGAACAAGCCCCCCAACCCCGCTCATGCCAATAGTAGTGAATTTACACTCTACATTATCCATTTTTTCTGTAGTGTAATGTGCAGGGTTACCAGACACACCAATGACAACTGATACAATGCTACAAAATTCCTCCTCGGCTGATGGATCGACTACAAATTTATTTCCAATTTTACACAATGTAACCTAAAAAATAACTTAAATAAAATTTCTTAAATCTTAATAAAATTTACAAATATACATTTTTTGTGCATGAAGATGTAATAATTTTGTTATGTTCCTCGTTATTTAAGCTACCATAGTTTTATCTGAGTGGAAATTGGATAGACTTGCAATTACAATACACAACTGATGTTATTTTATAATTTTAATATTAATTTTGCTTAATTTCAAGATATATTTATATATTTTTCATATTAATTATCTAGTGAGTCTCCAAACAAATTTTTAAGTACTTTAAAGAACAGACTATAGACATTATGAATTACCAATATGGCTAAGATTACAAAAGTTTGGTTATAAGATTATACAATTGTTAGTTAAATTTTAAAATTACCAACAATGGGGCAGTCCCGACAACCAAAGGCTTACTATCAAAAGGATCATCAGATAACTGTAAATCCACATCTCCACCATCCATTAAAGCTGCTTTGACAAATGGTATTCTTGTAGTAAAAAGTGCAGCCTTCACTGCCAATGATACAGCATCACATAAATTTCCACCACATTCAAGTATCTGAAATATATTAAAAATATGTTAAGTGATCCTTTTTTTAAATAATTATTGTTATGTTTGTATTTGTGATTTTGTTATAGAAAATGTAGCTAGACACCACTCTTTATTATTTAATAAGTGAGTTGGTGTAGGTTTCTGGTATGCAATGCTTCCAAACTCATTAAATATTTGATTATTATGAAATGGACTTTTATAAAACAAACTTGAAAAATTGTAAGCAGAGTGAAAATAAAATATTAATTATTAAGAATTATAACGCTTATATTCCTTTATGATGGCAATAATCGTAGTTCATATATATATAAATTACGTGTCACGTTGTTTGTCCGGTATGGACTCCTAAACTACCGAACCGATATCAATCAAATTTGCACACTGTGTGCAGTTTGATCTAACTTAAAAGATAGGATAGCTTACATCTCCTTTTATACCCGCAATATTATTTTATTGCAAATATTTGTTTATTATTTGATACAATTTTAACAGATGGCGCTGTGTTAAAAGTACCAACCTTTCACATAAGCTATCTACCTTTCACATAAGATCTCCTACCGTTTCCCTTGAATAGTTTACTACTATATAATATAAAAAAAACCTTAGCCACAGCAACGCTTGGCCGGTCTGCTAGTATATATATTATTTTTTATTCAAACTTCGTTGCAATAAAAATAAAACAAACACAAATAACACAATACATAAAAATTATAAGGGATGCAACAGGTGGCCTTATTGCTAATAAGCTATCTCTTCCAGGCACTATCACTATCCTATAATATAAATTAATTAAAAAAAAGTACTCACTAAAATATCTACATAGAGTTTCCAACATTGCTTTCCTTCAAAGATACACAACTGTTTGAGATTAAATGCTTGAGATGCGTGGTAGGCTCTTTGGAGTATATTGGATATACGGTTAGCTAATTGTTCTCCACCTCTTCCCTCAAACTCTGGAGTTGCATTGGCTGAGCTAAAATTTTGTTTTCTAGAATTATAATAGAAAAAGGCAACCAAATATTTGTATTTTGTAAACAGCTGTAAAATAAAGTTTTGCATGTATGGTACTTTTGTATTTAGTTATAATAAATATATAAAATAATTTTTTTATTCCAAAAATACTCGAAACTTAATATTATAAGTTGTGCTTACCAATCAACAAAAAATTCAATCTTTCCTAATCCTGGTGTTTCAGGTTTTGGAATATCTACTTCTGTTTTAACACCAACAAGAATATCAGTATTGGCCAATCGTAACCTCGCCGACCCACTTGCATGGCTCACAACATTTGTCTCCAACTCAATCGGCCTGTAGTCATAATTGGAGCGACCATCTGACCTGAAATCTTCCTAAGGGAACAAAATTAATGTATAATATTAGCAGTAAAACTAATCAAGCCGATAATTATTATATATACGGTAGAAATTCTAACTAAAAAAAGCTTACCTCAATGCCATTGACAATATAAACTTTTTCAGTTCTACTTAAAAGTAATCCTGCCATTATGTATTATTTATTTTAAAGGTTAAAGTAAAAACATTTTTCACAAAAATTCCATGTGTATTTGTTTACCTATTGTTTACTTTCCTCTGTTACCTGTGGTTTATTCCACAGATTCATAATGCAATGTAGACTGTAGACTACAGAAGACCATTACTTTTGAATTATTTCGAAATTCTAATTCAAGCGACATGATTCAAAAACTAAGAAACCCGCTATCACAGGCACATGATATTTTTCTATAATATTATACTAATGTGTATTAAACTATATAATGTTATTTTAGAAGATTAGGTCGGTAGTCATATTATTTTGGTTATGTTCAACACTTTAAAAATTGCGTAAATGTAGATATTATTAAAAGTATGGCATTCTAAAATATTAACGGTAGTACTAACCGTAAAATTCTAGCTTTTAATTATTTAATGTGCTAATTGTTTAATTCAATTTTGTTTTAATGTACGTAGGTACAATTTGTATACGAAGGTTGAACGATAAAGTTTTTTTCTATAATGAAACGTAAATTTAAAACAAAGTTAATCAAACTAACACGTAATTTTCTTGTATCTGGCTGTTTGCCCACAATTGTAAAGGATAAGCAATGACTCAAAAATTGATGATTCCAAATAAATATTAATAAGTGAAGTTACCGAAATTGTACAACGAACGATATTTCGATGTTCCTGCCAATCGGCTATATTATTTAAATGAACCAATTTGCAGTAATGTCAAGGTTAATTCTGCGGCTTTGGTCTGATCCCGATTCATTGTTAACTATAAGGGGGATCTCGCAACATCCTCTTTTAAATTGCGAGTTATCGTAATTTTTTCATTGTAACAAATTGAATTTGTACGAACTTACTAGCCATTTGACGTCTAGAATCTGAGCGAATATATTATTGATATCCGAAAATGGAAATGGAAAATGTATCTGATATGGTTACAAGAATGCAAAAGTTTTCGTGGGTAGATTACGTAGTTTTTGTGTTTATGTTAGCCATAAGTGCGTTTGTCGGTGTGTATTGGGGTTTATGAAAAAACAGACGACGCAAAACGATTACCTACTCGGAGGACGGAACATGAAAATATTGCCTGTTTCTATGTCTCTTGTAGCCAGGTAAATATAATATTTTGGTTTAGTTAATAAAGCTTTTTGTTTACATGCGAAGTAATTGCGAAAAGTTTGAAGGCTCTACCAAAATCCTTCCGCGGGTTAATAGAGAGGCAACAATCAAAATAAAAAAATGTAGTAACAGCCATTGTGTTGGATACTACAAACTATACGTACTATAATACAGAATTAATATCATTTGATTTCTTTGTAATAACGTTTCTTTATTAAGAGACAATTTTATTTCGCTTGTTATGATGCCTCGATGATATTAACAGTTTATTTTGTTGTTAAACTTTCTATATTGGCAATTTGTAGTGCTGTTTTAGGTATTAATAACTGAAAAAAAATTTTCAGTTTCATATCTGGGATAACTTTGTTAGGATCTCCAACAGAAGTGTACATGTATGGAACTCAGTATTCATACATTATTATCGGCATATTCCTTATGTCAGTTTTCATGACACAAATATACTTACCAGTATTTCACGAGCTCAAGATGACGTCAAACTACGAGGTTTGTGTTTTATTCCTTTAGATACGGTTTAGTTTTTGAAGTGAAACTTCTTTATCGAGGTTGGAAAAAAATTTAGTGTAACATTTTTTCGTTACGCGTCACATTTTTCGGTTACGCGCCATGTTGCTTTTTGAAGTCAAACTTCTTTATCGGCGTTGGAATGAAACTTCTTTATCGACGTATGGGAGAAATTTTGAAGCAAATCGTCACGTTTTTCAATGATAGTAATAATTCTATTACAATTAATGAAATTCTATAATAATCTTCGTAGTAATAAGGCAAAATGAAATATTTGTATTCATGTCTATGATAATAAAAGCCTTTTGTTAAACTTTATCTAATTTAACGAATTTCTGTAAAGCTGCATATAGTAGATCATTTTTCGAAAAATAAGATAATAAAGAAGTTTCACTTCTTACGTGTGTACCTACACCTAATACACGCACAATTTTTATTTTAATTGTAACAATTCTGTCTTATTTTCAGTACTTGTCTTTACGATTTGACAACAAAGTTAGATTGTTTGGTTCGGTGCTTTTTGTGTTTGCCATGGTGAGTTGAAATCTATTGAATTTTTTGTCTATGATCCGGAATAAGATATACCCTCAACTGTTATTCGATAATAACAATTTATAAATAGAAATATTTATTTCAAAATTGTATCCCAGGTAGAGTTTAAAATTAGAACACAATATATTTTATCTTAGAAAAAATTACAATGTTACAGTAAAAAAACTTGACGTACCAGTTAGCAAGTTGACGGTATTCCTCAGTCTGCTCACTTGATCATCCGTTCTTGCCACAGGTCTGTTCCCATTGGAATATTAATGTTATGGGATAGTGGAAATGCACTCTAGCTGCGCACACAATTGTAATTATCTCTTAAATAATAAATTTAAAAAAGAAATGCCTTTGTAGCCGAATCGGATTTACAACATCTTTATTATTAATAACAGATGAGGGTATTTATTTCTTTATCTGGAAGTATTTCACTCATAGTGTGTTCTTCTTTTCATATGCCTGGTTAGATTGGTTGGTTACCAATAGTAATATATGTACCAGCTTTGGCATTTAATCAAGGTGCGTAAAATTTTGTATTTGAAATCTATAAAACAAAGGGTTTTTATAATGTTAGGCCTATTTTTCAGTGACCGGAGTAAATATACACGTCATAACACCCATTGTGTGCTTAGTTTGCATTTTTTATACGAGCGCTGTAAGTATTTTTAATTCAATTTGACATTCTTCTTCATAAATCACTTCAATTAGGCAAAGCATGACACATTCTATTAGTTTCTAATTTAAATGAGAGTGATAAGGAACGAACACGCAATAGCTTTTTAATACGTTTCTGAATAAGGGGCTATTTTTCTCTACTTATTGTAATTGTGGAGGAAGGAGGGTTCTTTCTCCAACCTAGAGAAGGAGTCCTATACCAGTCCAACCACTGACTGCCTTGGCCCAAATGGCTTATGTCGAGAAGTTGTGTATTGCCTTAGGGGTCGGAATAACTTTATTAGTACGTTTCGGTATGACGTCATCGCAGTGATTGTACCTGTAGCGTAAAATATAGTTACGTGTCAAACAAGTTATTTTAATGATCATGCATATAGAGTCACTGAGTACTATTTTATTGTACCATTAGTTATATGGCAGTAGCTGAAAATACGTCATTTTTTGTTAATCATTGTACTCTATCCTTAAGATTTATTCTTCTTGAGCCACACTTAGGGCTAAGTCTGGACTATGAATCTAAGGATAAATTTTACCCAAAGGCTTCGAGAGTTACAACCTTTTTAGGTCTGGGCCTCAGATTTCTGTATCTGTTTCATGATCGTTTGTTAATCTAATAGGCAAGTAGGTGATCAGCCTTCTGTGTCAGACGCACGCCGTCGACTTTTTGGGTTTAAGGTAAGCCGTACTCCTCACGATGTTTTTCTTCACCGTTCGAGCGAATGTTAAATGCGCACATAGAAAGAAAGGCCCATTGGTGCACAGCTGGGGTTCGAACCTACCACAGGGATGAGAGTCGCCTGCTGAAGCCACTAGGCCAATACTGCTCCCAATATATTACTTATCGAGGTTAATTTTCGAAGAAAGTTCCCCGGTGTAATTATGGTAAATGCATGGTATGATAAAGAATAAAATTAGGACTTAATCATTCTGTTTCTTAAACATAACAATATATGTTTATTTATAAATTTTTAGGGTGGTCTTCAGGCGGTAGTATGGACCGATGTCATACAAATAACAGTGATGTTAGGAGCTATGGCTCTCGTAGCTATAAAAGGCACGTTGGATGTCGGAGGATTTGGAGTCGTATGGCAGCGAAATATGGAAAGTGGAAGAATCGAAGCACCTAAGTATGTAGTTAATTAATTCTGTTTTATGTAGTAAAAAATGTTCAGTATTGTTGAAAATGATATGTATATCAAATAAAATAAAATCAGACATCGGCGTATTAGCATCGGACATGCGCCCTTATGGCAAAGTCAGTGGATTGAGGTTTAAACTGAGTAAGTTTTTTTTGTTCATTTTGTTATCTATTTAAAAATATTCTTATTTTAATTTTATTATTTTCTACTAAGTATTATTATTATTACATTATTTTTCTTGTTTTGCGACTGAGGTGCAAACTAGCTGCTGCATGGTATCTGGCAGAATGACCAGCGCTGTGGATTAGTCTGCTCCTCAGTATAATGAGCCAGGGCCAATTACAACCACAGCACACACGCATGACACACTTAAAACGTACCTTGTTCTTTGAAAGAGAAGAAATTGTTATTTTTCATACTTTTTTTATATTTCTTTGATTATTGTTATTTTGTGTGTTTCTGTTAGTAATAAATGTTATGTCTATGTCTATGTTTTAAAGTTTAATATCCAAATAGAATCATCAAAGCTTTCTATTTATACAATGTTAGAGATTCTTGAACAAAAAGAGTGACGTGAGAATTATTTTAGCTGGGATTTTAATCCTACCACCCGACATACAATATGGAACCTAGTCATCGGGGGCGTGATTTACTGGCTTCAAGCCAACTCTGTCAACCAAACCATGGTTCAACGGTATCTCGCATTACCCACATTGCGAGCTGCCAAATGGTAAGGATTTTTATAATCATCATTATTAAGCAGCTACCGAGCATCAAAACATTATTTCGAAAAATAGTTTTTTGTGTTTTTGTTGTAAGATTTACATACAAATATTAGAAACAAACTAACCTTCCTTTAGCGTGTCAAACGCTTCGTAGAACTGCAGTGTCAACCAGAGTCTAGTGCGTCTCTCTCTCTAAGTTTGAATAGCGATACCGATCCCGACGTTTTTGTAGTTGAAGTCGGATTTTGAGAAATTTACCTCAATATCAGTAAAAACTCAGTTTAAGACTGTCAAAGGATTATTGTCGATATCTGTATTGGTAGTTATAGGGTAAAGGCCTTGTCTGGTTTAGAAATGTCAGCAAAGAAAATAAAAAAGCACTTCAAATGTTTCGTTTTATACCTTTATTGCAGCTAACTTGAAATCATTTCAGGTCAGTGTGTCTGTTTTGTATTGGAATATCAATCCTATACTGCTTTTGTTTATATTGTGGACTATTGATTTACGCGAGATTTTACAATTGTGACCCTCTTCAAACGAAGGTTAGTACCATAACATTTACTTAAGTCGAAAAATTCCCCGAAATAAAAGCAATAAAATCCAAAGTAAATTTTCGGGTTTGGTGCTTCTAATTGTTTTTGTCTTGTACAGTTATGAATGAATACATTTATTGCTTATAATCGAAAAATACAATTTGAATTCGCGCCCCTGTAAGTCGAAAATGTTAAAGCAAAATTAAAGCAAAGCAAATGTTAAGCGAAAACTCATTAAGTCCTTTTTTTACATTTCCCTTGACATTCAAGTTATAGAGATTTCACTGTATTAAGAAATAAATTTACACTTTATTCTTTTAAAGTTCTTTTATTATTCAACAATTCATTACTTCTACCAAATAAAAATAAAATTTAAATTATATCCCTCTATTTAATTTAGAGATTCATCCGAAATTTTCAGTTGGCGAAGGCAAAAGACCAGCTACTACCACTGTTGGTGATGGATGTTCTTGGTGACTTACCGGGCCTACCGGGTGTCTTCCTTGCTGGTATATTTAGCGCAGCATTAAGGTTTTTACTTACCTATATAAAATATAATATTTTGGAAATTTAAAAATATAAATTAATAATAAAGACTCGAGCATTCAATCTAGGAGCGATATTCGAGCAAAACCATCAATTATTGTTTTAAAATTAAAACCAATATTTTAATTAAAATTTAAGTTTGCGTAATATCCTTGATTAAGAGATATAGATAACGTTTTTTTTATTAAATATTACTATAAGTTTATTTAATTATATCCAAGCTATTATCATACCAAGAGTTATATTTGTCTACGGCCTACGAAGGTATTGTATGCGTAAATTTTTCCTAGTAGGTTACCTATTTTTTATTTTTCCAACGTAAAAATTGCCCCGACACAGAAGCCTACTTGTATTAATTTAAAACTATAGTATGTCAGAAAATATATAATATAAAGTCCATTTAACAAGAAAGGTTATGAAATAAATTGCGAGTAATTAACCCACTATAATATTCTACAATGTCTATAGTTCTCTTTCTACGAGTCTTAACTCGATGTCCGCGGTTGTACTTGAAGATTTTTATAAGCCGTTCTACAAGAGACAGCTAACAGATACACAGACAAACTGGCTGTTACGAGGTGTAGTTGTTTTCACTGGAGTGCTATGTTTAGGTAAGTTACTTTATAAATAAGAATATTTAAAAAAAACATTTTTAAAGAATACTCTTTTAACGTGTATAAAGTAGAATTTATTACTCTCGCTTTTAGATTTACGTGTATTAAGTTTATTTTAAGTGAGTTCCTTATGTTGTATTCATTCTATATTTTATAGTGAGAATTTAAGGAAATATATTATGAATATTTTTAATTTATGCATTGATAATAAGATATATAGAAAGTCTATGGTAAATTAATTTATCGGCTCGAATCCAGCAACTAATCACTCCCCAACTGTTAGCTAGATTTTATAGTACAATCATCCTCCGAAAGCCTACAGGTCCTTTAGAAAAAATAACCTTATTGAAGTTATCAATTACAGACACTAGGTTGTACTGTAAATTCTAAATTTACTTGATTTCAGCTTTAACCTTTGTCGTTGAGAAGCTCGGTACAATCCTTCAATTAACAATGACGTTGGAAGCGATTACAATGGGTCCACAACTTGGAGTGTTCACTATGGGGATATTGATCCCGTGGGTTGATGGATTGGTAAATACTAAATAGAAGTCTGTAATTATTTATGGACGTATTGATATTTTTTTGCGCCTGATATTTAAGTATGTTCAACCGGTGTATACGTGCTATAATATAATAAATATGAGTACTTATTATTTTTATAAGTCTATAAAAGGAACATTGCTTTGTGAAAATACTGCAGTAAGACTGAATAAATTTCTATGAATAAGGAACAATGTTTATAGATTATTTTTTTCAGTATTTCCTAATGCCAAAAATTAAAAACTTAATAAAAATTCTTAGGTCTCTTTTTCTCTTCTGATTTGCATTCAGACTATTTAACGGCGTTCTTCTTTTAAGGGTGCTTTAATAGGAGGCCTCAGCGGATTAGTAGTAATGGCATGGTGGTGTTTATCAGCTCAATTAGCCATCGCTAGTGGTCATATAACCCGCTCACACAAACCTCTTAGTGTTGATGGCTGCCTTTATAACTACACTTTGAATGCTAACAATGTGCACGTTACGGAAAGGTAAGCCTTATAAACTCCAGTTAGAATTGTTGAAATACTTGTTTTTTATTTCGTACTTACACAACTAAGTTAAATGCTTAAAAAGAATGACACTAAAGGTATATAGTATTGTCTTTGATTTACATAACCTTTACACATTTAAAGAAAAAACTGTTTGTTATTCACTAAAGTTATAGCCAAATATGGAGTATACTAGTTTACGAAACTTTGAAAGGAATATCTAATATATAAAATTCTCGTGTCACAATGTTCGTTTACATACTCCTCCGAAATGGCTCGACCGTTTCTTATGATTTTTTTTATGCATATTCAGTAAGTCTAAGTCTGATACTATCTATCTTCCAAGCCCCTAAGTGATAAGGGGTGTCCATCCCAAATAAATGTTTTTATTTTTTATATTTCATTATGTGGCATAAAATATACATACAACCCTTAACTTTCACCCCTCTACGATCAACCTCTATTTTTTATTATAGTAGATAGTTATTTTTATACAACTAAAAAAATGTTTCCTAGAAATAATATACATGGCAGGTAAACGTTTTCCGGGTCAGCTAGTTTTAATATAATAATTGTTTTTTTTAGTGTGCAAGTTAATCCAGTGCTTCATGTATCGTACATGTGGTATACACTAGCGGGCTGCTTAATTACTATGTGTGTGGGTATGGCCGTAGCGGGGGTAAACAAAGCCTTAGGTAAAGCATATGTGCCTCCTGCACCAAAGTTACTTGCGCCGCAGATAAGGGGGTTCTTCAGGGACCCACCTCATCCAAAGGAGGAGCCTTTTATAAACGCATATGATAGCCAAAAGGTAAGAAGAATTTGTTCATATATCAAAGTCTCTTCAGTCAAGTCAAGAGTAAGGGAAATTATAAAATATCATGAAGTAGTCATAAAATGATGTTGACAAACCTATGCTTGGCTGATTTTTGGTAGGTTAGAGGTTGAGGAAGGGTTATTATTATAGAGTAGGTTTTTGTGTTAGAAAAAAAACACCCATTCTAAGATCAAGATAAAGTGATCTGAATACGTTAGAACACCCTTTTTAGCGATGACATTTCATTTGTAAATCTACTTATATGATTTCAGGAAAAAACACAAAACTCAACTTCAATAAGCATGAAGCCAATAAAGGAGATTGAAGAAATAAGCCCAAACTTAACGTTAACTTAGTTGCGTAGGACTTAAGTTTAATAAATTTTTCAATATATTGCCATTTTTATTTCAAGATACATACAGTCTATAAATAAATTGAACGAACAAACGAAATAGGAAGTGGCTAATCAAGGGACCACCTTAGCTTATGTAGGATGTGTCGGTCGACTCAATTGACTACGGTTGAGTGTGTAGGACTATAAATAAGACGTGTGTATTAATCAAAATGGAAAAACTTCAAGTTTCGAATTTCAAGGCGTCCTTACAACACTTTTCATGGATAGATTATTGGGTGTTTGTTCTATTATTGAGTGTTTGTGGTGGGATAGGAATTTATTTTGGGTTTATACAGAAACAAAGTACGCCACAGGAGTACTTGATGGGTGGAAGGAAAATGAAATTACTACCGGTGTGCTTTTCACTAGTTGCGAGGTAAGTTAGGCCATGAAAAAATATTTTAATTTCGATTTGTATTAATTTTTACCTAACAAAACAAAACAAGAATAACGTTGACTTAATACGTTTATGTATGATGATATAGGTTAGCTATTAATATTAGTTTCATTTGAGTGGGAAAACCTTAAATTTTATTAAGCTACAACATAATAAATAGTAATTTCAAAATTGTTATCGCTGTCAAGCCAATTCTAGTATTATTTTAGTTTTATTTCAGGAATATCACTTTTAGGCATACCAACAGAGCTATATGTTTTCGGAACGTCATATTTTTTCACAATTATTGGAACACTGATGATGTCTATTATCATAAGTAATACATTTCTCCCAGTTTTGTTTGATTTGAAGTTAACGTCTGCTTATGAGGTAATTTTACTATAAGATTTGCAGATATGGATGAAATTGCGTCTCGAAATTCGTGAATAGAAATAAATATATTTGTTACTCGTGGTAAGAAAGTTGAAAGAAGTTACGTAAGTATGTAATAATTTACAATTTCCTGAGGCATCACTTGTTTCTTTATGAAGGTATTATGTAAAGATGCCGTTACTACTATCAGTGGCGTAGCTAGGTGATCGAGGGCCCTGGGGCAAATTAAAAAATGGGGCCCCACTGCTATGTAAACTGATTAGGTTTTATTAAATAAAAATATGAAATATACAAATACTTTAAGAATGCTAGGCTACGTAAGCTCTTATTTGAGCAGGGCAGGTAATAAAAATATTAAACAGTAGGTAACAACATAAATTACAATTAATACTTGATGTAGGTTTGGCGAATAAAATGAAATACAGAAGATTCAAGGATCTATTATATAAAGGTCGGGCCTACCAACTGACCTGATTTGTCCTAGCTTTAGTTTTCGCAAAAGTATCAATGACTTCGTTTAAATCCAGGCTTGATGCGGTTTTGTTTTCAATTGCTATCTAATTCGCGTTATACTGAGTGCCGCACAAGTACTGTCACTAAAGAAAATTTGTTTATTTTTTTTATATGACATTTCCTGTCATTCTGTTGTTGAAAATTGTGTAGTGAACAAATGTAAAATACACTGAAAATAAACATGGACCGTTTTACTGCCCAAAAACGTGGAATAATCGTGTCAATGTTCTTACGGAATAATTCATCAGTGATAAAAACACAACGTGATTTTCGTCGACGATTTCCCCATCGTCCGGCACCGATTGGTCGCACAATCCGACGTTTTGCCACACGCCTTGAAGCAACTGGCTCAACATTGGATAGACCTAAGTCTGGGAGACCAAGAACAGGCCGTTCAGCTGAAAATATCGATGCTGTGCGCGAAGATGTGGAAGAGTGTCCAGAAACAACAACGAGGCGACGTGCCACGCAATTGGGCATTTCCAGACGGACCCTGCAGCGTATTTTGGTGAAAGACTTAAAGATTTTCCGTAAGAACATTAACACGATTATTCCACGTTCTTGGGGATTAAAACGGTCCATGTTTATTTTCAGTGTATTTTAAATGTAAAATACACTGAATGTGTTCACTACAAAATTTTCAACAACAGAATGAAATGAAATGAAATGTCATATAAAAAAATAAACAAATTTTCTTTAGTGCCAGTACTTTTGCGCCCCCTAGTACAATGAGCTGTAACCGAAATTTTTAGATTTGACACGATTTATTGACTTTACCGGACATCAATATGAGCTTACTTACTCCTGATGCATGAATTTTTTAAACGTTCTCAAAAAAAGAAATCTTAACTCGAAATCACAATAAAATGCACATATCACTATCCGTCAAATGGCAACACTGCCAACCTACAGAAAGAATTTAGGGGAAATCCCTAGGCATAACTTTTGAATTTCTCTCAAATTAATGTCTTGATTAAAGTGGGGTTGCAACCTGTCATATTTATTTTGGAATTGGGAGAGATTTCCAAAAGTTCAGAACGATCGAGATTTCTGGTGAGGATTCGAGGGCCCCCTGAGCTTGAGGGCCCCGGGGCACTGCCCCGCCTAGCCCCTTGGTAGCTACGCCACTGACTACTATATTTATTACGCTCTGTATTTATCTAGACCATTTTATTTTGCAGTACCTACAACTGCGTTTTGATAAAAGGATCAGAGTATTTGGATCTATTTTATTCACAACGTATTTGGTAATGAGGGTAAATTATACTTTTGAATTTTAATATAATCTTCCAGGCATTTTATGAAAAGTTTGTTTTAGTTGGCGTGGCTGCCTATTGTAATTTACGTACCGGCATTGGCTTTTAATCAAGGTAAATATCTATTCTATAATCCTATCATACTTATGAACAAATCCATAAGATAAAACATATATCTAAATTAAAAAAAAAAACAATTTCCCTCACACACTCCACCAGACGCAAAATCCAAAATTTAACATAATCAAGGAGGTTCAATTACTTTGACATATTTTGAATTTAACTTATCTGTAGCGCATTAACGGTATTGCGGTGTAGGATTTTTGGCGTCAATCCTGCATAAGGGTAGATTTTTTTTTTAGATTTCATGATACTTTTTACTAGTAATAATTAATTTAATCAAATCTTTATTTCAGTAACTGGCGTCAATATTCATATAGTGTCACCAATTGTATGCCTTGTATGCATTTTCTACACTTCTGTGGTAGGTATTTTCTAAAGCATTTCAATATAGTATTTTAAAAGCAATTGCTCCTTTAAAAATAAAATCACAATATAAAGAAGACTACTACTATTTGCATTTTTCAAAATTATACCTATACAAGAGAAAGTGCAGCTAGGATTATTAAATGAAAACTACTTTACAGAAAATTACCTTAAAACAACTAAAACTCACTATCACTATACAACACGTAGAAAATTAAAAAACGAATTTCTATTACCAAAATACAATAATTTATATGGGAAAAAAACATTAGACTATATTATTCCAAATCTATTAAACTCGTTACCAGCTACACTATTTACTAATATAACAAGAAACAATATTAAATTTAAATTAAAAAATTACTTTATAAATCAAACAATTACAAATTATGCATAACAAAAATAAGACATCGTCATTTAATTCATATTCGAATATTGGAACACATCCTGTATTCGAATGAGAATTCTCGTCAAGAACAGGTTTCTTGCATTGGCTAACTGAGTTGCGACAATTTTCAATTGGTTTATTACGTTGTTCGTGCAATTTTGATAGTTTGGATTGAATTTTGGAGTTTGGATTTGTATGTCACTGGCCTAAGTATGTATTAAGTTAATTATTTAAATATGTTCGACGACCTGGTGGATAGAAAAACTGTGTCCAGTTTGTGTTTCCACCACACCAACTTCTTTCTATTTAAGATCATGTATATAATAAATAAATAAAATATACGATTTCTCAAGATATGAATTGTATTTAATCAGTTCCTAAATAATATAAATGCGCCTAAAGATTACCGATATCTTCGTTATTCACTTTCAGTGTCGGTTCAAGTTGTGTTGAACTGAACTGAATAGAATTGTGTATCAAGAATGTAAGTTTCATACTTTGTAGGGAGGGCTTAAGGCTGTTGTTTGGACCGACGTTATTCAAACTATCGTTATGATTGGAGCAATGATTTTAGTTATCGTCAGGGGCACTATGATCGTTGGAGGTTTTGGCAATGTCATTCAAAGGAACTGGAACACTAAAAGAATTGAGTTTCCTCCGTAAGTATGTCCGAAAACTAAGTATCTACTGAGGTAATTGTCCTTGTGCTCTGTGGCTTAGTAATTTATGCTCACGGCATCCACATAACCCGGAGAAGAATCGGAAGACGTGTTAATTTAATTTCTTAGACAGATGAAAGAAAAAATATATTATTCCAAATAAATACTTTATTTTCAGATCAAATTTTGACTTAACTGAGAGACATTCTATCTACGCTGTAACGATAGGGGCCACGTTTCATTGGATTGGTAATATTGCTGTTAATCAGTCAATGATGCAAAGGTTTCTAGCGTTATCGGACTTAAATACTTCTAAAAAGTAAGATAGGTCTTTTTTTAACTTTTAACTCCGAGTATTGAGAATTAAAACATGTTTTATTACATTGCACAATATACAGTTCACAATATAATTTCCTTTTAGGGCTGTGTGGGGCTTTTTCTTTGGCGTTTTATTAATTATGCTACTTTGTGGCTATAGTGGTATGCTAGCATATGCTAGATATTATGATTGTGATCCCCTTGACTCCAAGTTGGCATCGGCTAAAGACCAGCTCCTACCGTTATTAGTAATGGATGTGCTGGGCGATTTGGAAGGTATGCCAGGGGTTTTCGTGGCGGGAGTTTTTAGTGCTGCCCTCAGGTAATGATTACTATAAGATTTTTTGCAGAAAAGAAGAGAGAGATTAAAATATTTTTGATATAATATTAGATATAATTAATATATTTTTTTTTATTTGCACGTAATTATTTAATTTTTTGTTTCTATATGCGTTATAAAATAAAATAAAGAACTACATGACACAATTTGATATATATATCTATACGTACATACCATAAATTCGGTAACTTATTAGTAAAATAACAATAATTAAAACTAAATTTATTTAAATTATCAAAGCTTTACAATGCCTGCTCGCGTACCTCAACGGGCAGTCGTGACCATGATTACGATTGATTAGAATTCGGTTATATATTTTATATATGCGATACTACTACAATATTTTAATTAATTACAGCTCTCTATCTACGGGACTTAATTCTATGGCGGCTGTAGTATTGGAAGATTTTTGCAAACCATTTTTCAAGGAGTTAAGCCAGCGCCAAACGCAAATATTAGTTCAATCAGTCGTAGTAATTTTTGGATGTTTATGTGTTGGTATGTTTATTATTTCATGATACCATATTTATCCTATTGCGGCCTTCGTTGTACCCGCACTCCATTTTTTAAATTAATATTAGGAGTGAGGACAAGGTACCTAGATTCTTTTCTAAAAACGTAATGTTTATATTATAATCCTTTTAAATTATTTGCCAAGTAATTACGAAGTAACATTATTATACGGAATAATATTATCATAAAGTTTATTTGGCTTTGTACCAAAGACAATTTTCATCGAGTATAATACAAATTTAATTATAAATGCGTTCCGACAGGGAACCGACCCCGATACGATTATATTACAGTACTGTTACGATTTTCATAATCATAGTCCTGGTGATTCTTATTATTATATCATATATTTAAGGTCTCGTGTTTGTTGTGGAAATGTTGGGTCCTGTACTGCAATTGGCTATGACGTTATGCTCTGCATCTATGGGACCTCTAACTGGGATATTCCTAATGGGACTATTTTTACCATTTATTGATGGGACTGTGAGTATTGATAAAAATGGTTATACAAAATATTTCGGTCATAGGAATCACTGTCACGTTAATTTATATCACAATGATTACGATAAGTATGAACTAATCATACGCGTTAAGGCTTAAATATCGAAATCTTATTGTTGTATACTCTCCTGTTTTTGAAGTGAAACTTCTTTAGGCGCATGAGGGTAATTTGTTTACAGATGAAACGCAATATTAATAATATTAGCGTCACGAAGACGTGCAGCGTTTTTGTCGAAGAAAAGGGAGAGAGAGCGATTGAGACCGATTGAGAGAGAGTGAGAAAGGGCGAATGTAGCATGAAGCAAATAGCCACGGAGTAGGGAGCAAGCAAGTGAGAAAGAGAGAGTGAGATAAAGCGAGAGGTGGCAGAGAGCTATAGGGAGAAAGACTGATAGAGAGAGTAAGGGAGAACGAGAAAAAATACACGCTATTGGCTGATGTATTCGTTTAGTAGTTACATATTAGGACTTTAGATGGAAATTCTGTCGCATAACGTCTTGTGCAGTAAACGCAGATTTTTTATTTATTTATATTATCATTAGCACGTATACAGTGTGAATATAGATATACAAATACATGGAGTGATCATATACTAATTAATTTAAAAAGAAGTTTCACTTCTGACATGTGTACTTTGTACGCACGCACTTTTTTTTAAAGTAAGAGAGTGATAGTAAAACAATAAATAGGTATTTGTAAAGCAAAATATTAGAAATTTTTTTTAGAGTGCCCTATTTGGTGGTCTTGTTGGGATAGCATCAGCTGGCTGGATCGCTGCACAATCACAACTTGCTCAGGCACATAGTTTACTTGTATTTAAAGAGAAACAGAGGTTAACATACAACTGCACTTATGAATTTGAACCTGCATCGAATTTAACTAAAACAAATGGGTAAGATTTTTACAGCATTATTTACGTTACATTTTTAATATACACAGAAATAAACGTCACTCGCTTATTAAACAAAAAAAATATTATTTCACAATTTCATAATTAAAAAACTTTTTCTGAGTAAATTTAAAAAAAACACTACTGTTTACAAATCGCACTGCGAGTTCAGAAAACTATTTAGCTATGAAAGCAAGCATATTAGAGTATGCTCACGATGTACGATATTTTAGTGTCTTTAAATATTTTAGAACTTTGGCTCTTTCTATCAAATTGTATTTTTGCTGTGATAAAAAGAGACTGCTACTTCAGTTAAAACGAACCAATTAGAAATACTTTATATTCCTTTAAAAATTTAAAGAGTGTCATTGTCTAATTAATTATTATTTATATTTTTCTTCGGTCTATTTGTATATATTAAAGGAGCAAATGCCTTTTGACTTTATTAAACATTATTCAAAACACTATTAGCTTTTTGTGCCTTACCACCCGAAATGCTTCACTAGGAATAGAGAACTCCTGGTTGAAGTGTTGTTTTTAGTTGTACATGATATTTGCTACTTTGTGTATTTGAGTGATATGATATTACGATGATTAGAAACCTATATAAACTAAGCATTTTATGTAATAATACATTTGAAATTATCTAGGCCAAGGAGTAGAGATAAAATGGTAATCATTATCAATCAATATGATAAAAAAATTCTCAAAACTAGTTATTGATATCATGATTTGGCAGGATGATTCTAGAAAAACTACTTATGAACTGACTAGCAATGCCGGTAACTCGCAAAAGCAATCCCAAAGTCACTGTTGTGACGAATACAAAGATACATCAAAACTGCATACAAATCGTGAGGATTGGTATTGAAAGTTATAGACCGCCACTTTGCGTATTACACATTATTAAGCTATCTACCTGGGTTGCTTTTTGTATACATTCTATCAACAGGAAAAACATTCACCAAAAAGAACTATAAATTATTTACAGATAACCAATTTGCAAGTCTAGCACAGTAATGAAAATGATTTAGGCATTGATTTTGGTATCTATCAATTATGTTCGGGATCCTTTGATTTGAGTTATTAAAAACAATTTATGGTAATTTCAGTTGTCCTGTCGTTTTTTCAGAGACGTTCCTTACATATACAGTCTATCTCACTTATGGCTGACAGCTTTGGGGTGTACTGTAACCATTATAGTAGGATCTTTGCTAAGTTTAAGGGAACGCACCGTTTACGAAAAAGATGAAAAACTATTCTCTCCCGTGCTAAGAAAATGGATCACAAACAAAAGATGTGTATGTAAATTTTAAATGTAATTAATCCTAGTTTACACGAAAATATAAATTAGTCTTAAAGTATAATACTGCTCGATTTCTTGCGATACAATTGATTTGCTTTAAAACAAAAAGCTTCGATATGCTTGATAGGATTTTGACGCTTACTCGTCCTGTTTCCGTTATAGCAGATATATTTCCACGTTAAACATTATAGGCAAGTAGGTGATCAGCCGTCGGTCCCGAATAGACATTGTCGAATTTAAGGGTTAGGATATGAATATAAACCATAAATAATATTTCGCAAATAGAAACAATGCTACATGAGATAAAAACACAAGCTTAATAGTCTGCTTTTAATTTTTGTATTTTTTTTAATAATAACTATTATTATATAAAACTAATAAATATAAAATTTTTAGGTACAGGATTTGAATATGACAAACATAAATAAAGTATGAGAATTTGCTATGTTTTATTTATTGTTATCCTAGACTTAAGGTAAATTGTATTATTTATAAATTTATTATATTGTTTTATATATTTAAAAAGGAAAACGGTTGCCAGTATTTACTCGAAATATTCCTGATCTGTAACAAAAAGGTTTATATTTTTTTAATTATTTTGACTTTAATATATATAAATAGGTTTATGTATATTAAAGTCAAAATTATAGCTTAAATATGAACTAATGTAAACGAAAATGTTTAAGAACGAGTGGGTTTACGTGCGATTCCTTTCCTAATGTTATTCTATTTCTTTTTTTTAAGTAATAGCTGTTTAACAAGTTACTCAATAAATTTAGTAGTAATTTAAAAAAAGGGAAAATAATATTTTTATAAGCAACTCTTCGTATTAAATGTGTTAAATAATTAATATTTTAGTTGAATGTAAGCAATGAAGTTGGACGATTACAATTGTAATATGAAACGCGTTGTAATTCGACAAATATCACGATTTTATTGGCATACAATAATGTAATTTATTTTAATATTGAAACAAAAAAGCTCTTAAATATACTGACCTTGACTTAGACAAAACACCATTTCCCATGGGATACATATCTCCAAAGCATTTGTCGTCTTCCACATTTTTCAATGTAAAGCATTCTCTGGCGACTAGATGATTGTATAAAATTGTAGCTGCCATATATTCATATCCTTTGCTGTGAGAGCAAACATTGAACCAACATCCCGGCATGATATCACCTCCGTTGGGAAAGAAGTCTGCATGCCCACAAAGCTCGGAAAACCCATACAATGCTGTGTTTGTGTGTATTATTTCCACATACTGGGCGTCTGTTTTATTTAGACGATTCTTGTCATGTTTCCATAAGGGACCGGCTGGATCTAACCTAGAATTTGATAGTGTTAATTTGAGCTTTTTTTATATTTTTTAAAAAGGCCGGCAACGCACTCGCATGCCCTCTGGCATTGAGAGTCTCTTGCCCGTTTGCCCCCTGTTCTTAAAAAAATTTGCAAAACTGCATAAAACCAGAGAGGTTTTCTTCTTTTCAATCTTCTATCTTCTTTTAAGTATTTTAAAGGTATTATTAATTTAATAATCAGTAACATCAATTAATTAAAAAATCGTTTTAAAAATTAGTTCATATTAAGTGTACATTTAAACTTTCTATAGCTTTTACTCCATTAATGGCAAATAAATAAATTCAATACAAATTCTTTTAGGAGCGAATAATCTCCTTTTCACATCGAAAATGAGTTTAATTAACATAAACAATTTATAAATAAAACACGTTTTAATTAATAAAAAGTGTCATTGTATTATTTTTACCTGTTATTCTTTTAACGCGACCTTGAGTGGCCTTCCCAGCATTTCCGACTAAATGGGCACCCAAACTGAATCCAACTAAATGAATGTTATTATATGATACATTAAACTCCTTATAAAGCCAGTTAATAAACTCTCCCAGCTGTTGACCAATAGTAGCCACTCCTCTTTTTGCAGTCATATAATTTCTTGTTGCTAGAGCACTCCAATCCACTACTATAATATTTACGTCTTTTTTACGAAGGAATGCTGAAATTATTTTACAAATTAAAAAAAAATTTTTTTTGACTGTATATAAAATTATATTCATTTTTTTACAAATTTCCACTTTAAGAAGTCAATATTTTTGAAATTTTAGGGCACCACAATTATATATCTGTCATTCTTTTACCGACCCCAAGAAGCTGTAAATTTTTCATATTTTTTGCTTTTTCAAGTGAAGCTTATATATATACATATACGTATACCAACAGCGCTACAACCTTTTAGGCCTAGGCCTCAGATTTCTATCAGCCAAGTAGTTGACCAACCTTCTGTGCCTAAGAGTAGCTTATAATGTGCGTAATTATTAGTAATTTGCTTAAAACACAGAGTAATGATTTTTTTTATTCTAGCATATACTGCAATTTGACTATGTACAAATTGAATTATTTGTTTTTTTTATAACTACGCTAAAATAGAAAAAGATCAAGATTTTTATTGCTTATTCTAGTAAGTGCTTACCGTCAGTTAGCATTCTATTCATTTTATTATCTCCACTGCCAAACCATCCATGAACTAAGAAAACGATGTCCTTATCTTTATTAAAGTTTGAGTTCAGGATTGACTGTGTTGTGCCGTGACTGATTACTTGCGGTGTTGTGGGATTATACCTGTTAAACATATTCGGATATTCTGTGTCGTTTTATGAGTGTGATTACATTGAAGCAGAGACAGAATACTAAATTGAAGAATTAAATCCCAACAGCCAAATAAGCAGTTATGATATGATGAGATATGATGTTAGTTATTTCGACTTTGTATTTGCTTGTTGTTCCCACGAGAATGTAAGTGCGTGCTCCCATTTCACCATGCCTCCTGCTGATAGAGGACAAAGTGGAACATGGTGTAATGGTTGCAGCTCCTAACAAACGTTGTGAAAAACAAAAACTTGGCGATTAAAAAGATTGGCGGAGAGTTTATTGCCAGTTCTTCTCTTCCGTTGTACGCCCTTGATTTGAGAACAGGCAGTAAATGTAAAATTAGAAGCATTTAATGTATATTCCTTTTTGACCTTCATAAGTGATGATAAATGAAATAGACTTTTGAATTTTGAGTGTGTCAATTTTATTTTATTTATTTTATCTCATGCAGATTATATTAAATAATATAATTTAGTAAAGTAATGATTAAAAAGGTAAATTATCTTTAAACGTCTTACCTAGAATACAACCAGTAACGATGACTCATAGGATTCTTTCTAATTTGATAAATTATATTATAATCGATCGGCTCCATAATATCTACTAAATGAAGCATATTATCTCCATCTCCAGGAAAATAAAAATATCTATCTCCGTCTTGATAATCTTCATTGGGACTTAAAGTGGCTGCGTAACAAACTAAATTAATGGAAATTGTTTAAAAGTGTATGTATTTAGGCTATGTTACTTTGTTTAGTTTTAAGCATGACATTATTACATTAATATAAATTGATTAAAAATGTTTGGGCGTTTAAGAATAAACTTTATTATTTATATTAGATAATACAAACGATTTCTATAAATTGGTAAATAGTAATTCTGAAATTTAATACTTGCCTGATGCTATTCCAAATATTATGAGAACCAATTTCATGTTGACGAATATTTTGATATAAATCACTTGTATTGTTTCAAGATCTTCTATTAACTAATCCAAAGTAGTTACAAACAACAATTAAATATTTATCAGTTTATCAGAACAATGTATTGTTTTAGGTTAAGATTGAATTGTTCCAATCTTGCTTATATACGTAATATTTAATGTAGGTTAGACAATTTAATCTTTACAATTCAAGGCCTAGAATCGAAAAGTTTGTTTATATATTAATAATTTGATTCGAGACAAAAATATTTATATACTATACACTATATATCTATCTCTATATATATAAAATTCTTGTGTCACAATGTTCGTTCCCAGAGTCCTCCGAAATGGCTCGACCTATTCTTATGAATTTTTTTATGCATATTCAGTAAGACTGAGAATCGGCTACTATCTATCTTTAAAACCAATAAGGGTGTCCACCCCATTTTTTTTTCGACATAAAATTTTGTTTTTATTTTTTATGATACAGCATACAAAAATAAATACAACCCTTAATTTTCACCCCTCTACGATTACCTATATTTTATTTGTTAATTAAAAACTCATGACATGAACTCTGAGGTTAAAATATAAAGAAAAATTCACAGAAAAGCCTAAAAAGTTTTCATTCGGGAAAACCAAAAAGTCTCTGGGGTAGTATAGCAAAATGTTCCATGTTGGTATGTACTAAAAAGGTAGGCTAAGTAAAATCACATTAAGGAGAAACGAAGTTCGCGGGGGCAGCTATTATATATAATAAATCTTGCATTGTTGGCTTCAGCGTGCCACTCTCATCCTGTCGACTGAGGTCCGATGAAGTGTCAAATAGCACAAGTTATCTTCCAAATAATTTATGTGTTGCATAGCTATTTGGTACTTTATCCATACATTGTGAAACAGACCCTCAATATATTCAATATTTTTTTTTATCTCAATTACAATTTTGATTTATTATTAAAATAATGATAAACAAATTAAAAGATAAAATAGCTCTTACGTCATTATAATCAAACTACCGATCAGATTAGTAAGGATTAATAAGTACTAACTAGAATTATATTTAATGATATTAATGTTTAAATTGTAATCTGTGAAGATATATATGTGAATTATTTATGCAATAAAAACGGCGTGTTACACGAATTGTTCCTGTGATGTTTTTATTTCTTTTTATACTTACAATAAATGTTCTATACAACTGTTTATTGATTTAAACGTGAAATATGTAGTGCCAGTATATAAATACGTATATATGAAAAGTTTATTATAATACAGATCTTTATTGTTAGAAACTAAGTTTTTCCGTAGGTTCTGTGGATAAAAAGAAAATTTTTTTCAGTCGTAGGTTTTTAGTACGGCCATTCGCCTCCAGTCGATAGTCCGTACAGTCCAAATCTGGAATATTAAAAGTAAGCTGTTATGTAAATAAACTTAAAATAAAAAAAACAGTTAATCTGAAGACTTATGTTTTATATGTTGTAAGTTCTGTTACATCTCCCCAAAGGACACGGATTAGTTTTATGTGATTCCAAAAACACACCAAAAACATTACTTGCATTACTTCGACATGGGTCGATCCCAGGACCTCTAAATTGTATACCACAATGTTATAACCAATTAGCATCAACGATAGTGGATTTGTATATACTACATGGTAAATATTGTGTCAACGTACCCTCGTTTATTCAAATTAGCGTTGCCCATACGCATCTGGGAACCACCACATCTATTTCTGCGAGCTTCATCAAGATTTGCACATTGTCTACCGATAAAGCGGTCGTATCGTACAGTTGCAGCATATAGTTGATAGCTGCGGCTGTGAGAACATGTGTTAATCCAACAACCAGGCTGTGGGTTGATGCCGCCATTAGGGTAGAAGTTGGTCTGGCATATAGGGTCAAAAATACCCATCGTACCACCGTCAGTATGTATGCACTCTACATAGGTAGCGTCTTGTGAGTTTAAGGCTTGCGGGTTTCTACCAAATTGAGGTCCAGCCGGGTCCAGACCTGTTGGTATATTTGTGTTACAATCGTTTTAGTTTATTTGCGTAAGTAAAACCGAAAATTACTACATTATTCTTTTTAATTATTAATTTATTTCTATAAAAATAATTGTTTAATTGATAATAAAACTCTCGCCTTACCAGAAATACGCGCCACGCGTCTGCCGAGTGTACGACCAGCATTCCCAACGACATGAGCTCCCAAGCTGTAGCCAATAAGGTGGACGTTGTTTAAATTACCACCAAAACTCGAGATCAACCAGCTTATAAAGAAAGCAAGGTGTTCACCAGTATCAGGAATCGCACGTACACTGGATGAATACAATCCATTTGCACCTCTTCGCCAATCCAGAGCAATGACATTGTATTCACCAATGTGAAGAAGGGCATCCCGGACATAGGTGTTCACTTTGGAATTTCCGTCACTGTTCCATCCGTGTGCAATAAAAGCTGTTGGTAGATTTGGATTGTAGTTAGAGTTTCGTACGGAATTTGCATCGTTGTGTCTTAAACGCTGGTGATTTTGGGGATTACGCCTGCAATTATATTTTTTGTTTAATATATTATATATTGAACAATATTGCCTAAAGTAGGGCCCAATTTAAAAGAACTCATTTGACAAATCATGAAAATTCAATAACGCAACTTTGTAACGGCAGGCATAATATTTATTTTCGTAAATTAAACGATTAACTTCAATTAATTTAGCATTCTAAACATAATATACAATTTCTGTTCTAAAGAGAACTGAACATCGTAACAATTTTTCCCAAAAAGTTTTTCTTTTTCACTAGGCATGTACTCAAACATACAAGTATAGATTGCATTCGATTCTTTGAGATAAATGTCTCATCTCAGAAATATTTCACCTTCAATGAATAACCAAATTATTAAATAATAATATATATTTTCCTTTTAAGTAACAATAAAAATATGTAAATAATTAAATAGGAAAATAGGACATTTTTCATAATAACTGAATCGATTCACATATTTTTGAAGTTCGTATCGATTTATTAACTTTAATTGTTGATTTAATTAAGCGATTAATTTAATGATCAGTAAAACGATACAGAGACGCGTTACATTTTAAATGTATATTATATATATATACACATACACATTATATATATAAACCTTACCTAGTATAAAGCCAGTATTCGTTTTGAGCACCACTTTTAGAGTCAAAATTTTCAGTTGGCGCGTGAAGATCAACTAGATGTGGAACATCGTCTCCATCTGGTATCCACACGTACCGGCTCACTCCCTCTACGTAATGACTGTTGTCTCCGGGTATAATTGGAATATAGTCTGAACTAGGTTTTGGGCCACCAGCACACACTGGAAACAAATTTAGCAACATCAATATTTTTACAGCAATTACATAGAAAATATTAATTTTCTTCCTATTCGCTTTGGCGGGTTAGGATTACGCAAGATAACAAGTGTAGCTCTTCCAGCGATTCTCTCATCTGCTCACAAATCTAGCAGTCCGGTAGGTAAAATCCTTAGCTTATTCTACAAACTACGAGATTGCGGATTTAACAGATGCGAGAAACGCGCGGTTAGCATCCAACCCAGGCTTTTATGCCTTCTAGCGTCAACTTTCAAAGGAGCTGGGATGATCCTCTTTGTAAATCTGAATTCCAAAAGTTATTAGGTCACATTTCAATAACAGACCGCGCAAGGTTAATGCTTATCCTTCGCCAAACACTGGCACCCTTTTGGACCCAGAATCACTTCGCGTCAGCGTCCGCTTAGGAGTGCCCATATGTACTCCCCATAAGTACCCCTGTGACTTTGAAGTAAGCAGCCTTGGACACCATGGCCTACATTGCCAAAAGAGTGCAGGTCGTTTTACTCGCCATGCCGCGCTCAACGACATTATACGCCGCTCTCTTGCCTCCGTCAATGTTCCAGCAATTTTGGAGCCAACGGGCATCGCAAGAGACGGTGGAAAGGGGCCGGATGGAATGTCGTTGATCCCTTGGAAAATGGAACGGGCTTTAGTATGGGATGCTACTTGTGTGGACACGTTTGCCCCGTCTCACCTCCTTCGGACAAGCAAAAAAGCTGGAGCGGCCGCAGAGCAGAAAGAAAATAATAAACGGCACAATTATAAGAGTCTTTCCTCCCACTTCGATTTTGTTCCCTTGCGTGTAGCAACTCTTGGGTCGTGGGGATCAAGTGCACAGGCGCTTATTAAAGATTTAAGTTGGCGCCTAGTAGATAGTACCGGTGACCCCAGAGCTGGCACATTCCTCGCTCAACGAATTAGTATCGCAATACAGCGAGGAAATGCTGCCAGCGTTAAAGGTACACTGCCACAGGGACCAAACTTTTTAAATTTGTTTTAATTTTATTTATTTTTAAATTATTTTTATTATGTACTTTGTAGGTTAAGAAAATTGTAAATACTGTATACTTGATTGTAAATAAATAATATACATTTATAGTAACGGTTCCTTAATAGGAAAATAATAAAGTTTTATGAAAGCTCAGGATATTGTTTAAAACAAATACCAAAAATAATAGAAATCCTGAATAAAGCATGCTATTTATTTTTACATTATTATTATAACTATTCGTATCGGCATGTAATTTGCCAGTATATTTTTAATTCAGATTGGATTTAACAAGATCTGTTATGTACGACATTTATAGGCATGTACAAGAACGCGGTCTGATAGGATCACGGAAAGAAACGGCTGAGTTTCTCTAACTTTTATTCGACCATGTTTATAAATTATTATCGCATGCAACAACCAAAGCCCAACATATATACAGTCCTGCTTATGTGCCGTACTGTTACTAAAGGTATACTTACATGATACAAATAAACTCAACAGTATGAAGAGCTCCATGTTTACAACTAAAACTAACTGTTTAGGAACTTGTTTTTATTGCAGAATCTTTTTTATCGTACTGAGATAATCAAATGATGTCGCTGTTTTTAAAAAGTGCCTTGACGTAAAAGAGTTGTCAATTATTACAATAATTATCGTGGCTGATAAAATATTGTTTGTCGCTATTTCGATAATTATGATTTATTTCATTCTAATGAATTGCGAAGCCGTTTATTACGATAATGATTAATTATTCTAGTTTATTAGCATTAATAAAATAAAACTTAATCCGCCTGGAGCTTCAATAGACTAGTATAAACCGAAAACAATTAAAGCTTGTTAAAAAAAATTGTTGGGCGGAATTTTCTTATCCAAAGATCGTTATGTATATCTTATATCGTTAAAATATCAATATATTTAGGTAATACTTAAAAGTATACCGAAATAATTTTGCTCAAAATGGACAACATTCCATATGTATGTTTTTCCAAATAAAATATGTCGCCTTAGATCAGTGTTACCTAGGCTTTAATCGTTTTAAGTAGTTGATGTACTTTTCTGTTTTTTTATTATTATGACATTATTTATTTTTCTTTATAAATAAGGAAAAAGCATATTAATATATATTATAAGTCATTAAATAATGAATACTCAAAGTGTGAGAGTGTCATAAATGTTGGTATCAACATGCATATTGCATGTTGTGCAGACAACACAGTATAAGACACGAGTCGCAAGCACACATACTTACAACTACTACTATACTTGTCGAGCTTTTTTTAAAGTAAATATGTAGCGACTTTCTATCAAAGCTCTATCTAGACACTTAGGCCGTATTCTTCAATGTTTAATTATTCTATGTGAAGTTTAAAATTGGTAATGCTCAAGCGGAGACTGCTATTTGAGATACTTATCGGGCCTTAAAGTTCTTTTTGGATATATCCAAGGGAAGTCCTATAAAGGACAAAGTGAAAAATAAAAGATAGAACAAAAAAGAATTCTATTCTCTTATTATATTCTATCTATCTTTTTTGCCAAAACTGTATATAATTAATGACCTTTCCTTTGAGCGTTTCATTATACATACTATGGTGCAATAAATTTGATAAAATAGAGCAGATATTAGTTACTTCCCGGTTTATTGATATGATAAATTAAAAATAATTAAATATTTTTTCTAATTCTCAGATTACATGTATCTTGATTGTTACATAACATAGCGTGTTTTTGGCGTGTAGTAATTAAACGATTTAGATAATAAGCTAATTAATTAACGAATAAAGGAGACCAATTTGATACTAGAATAATATAAATTAAAAACATAAAGCACCATACTATTTGTTTAAAAAAAGTTAGAGTTAGAATTAAAAAAATATATTTCGATTGAAAATAAATGCTTTCGAAATTCGGTTTCCACACTGTTTCATTTATACTACTTTAAAAAAGTGATATTCAATTAGATAACTTAAAATATACCATCTTTCATCGTCAATACGAAAGCAAGTCCAGCTTCTGTTCCTGCTAACTGATAAAGCAACATAATAATGCCTAAATCGATTTTAATCGCTTATATTTTCTACATAGTTCTTGCCTCATATGCCGACAAATATCGTTTTAATGGTAATACAGTGGTACCTCGACATACGAGTTTAATTTTTTCCGTAACCGAAAACGATACGAAATACGAGCAACGTATGTCAAATTGCCCAATTGCTGATATCTTAAAGCAATTTCCCACATTGAAATTAGTAAAAATGCCGTTAATCCGTTCCAGCACCCAAAACACCACCTCAGTTGTTTTTGTTGCAGTGTCAAGTGTTTAAAATGATTTCACGCTTTATTTCAATATACATCTTCTTGGGACCCATAGTTATAAAAAGAGCAAACAAACTGAGGTCTAGTCTGAGGAGGGAGAGATGGAGTAGTGTGTGATGTGTCTCAAATCTTGCTTTCATCTCAATGCAAAATGTCGATCGCTGGGCCGTTCGCAAAACACTCGTAAATTAGGGCAATCGTATAATAAGGTACTACTGTATTTATTTTTTACTAGATTAGATTGAATTTTTTTATAAAATTATATTAGACTTTATTATATTTTAACAATTAAATTTTTGTCGTCCCGTAGTGAAATTGTTTTTCTTATTCAACTATCTGCTTTTGTATATGGGAATTCAAATTTTTCCAAAATGGTATTCCTATTCACTAGTGTTTTACTAGATTTTTTAGAATATAGTAATATAAAACATGCTTATGTGATAAGCGAAGTAGAGAAGTAGATACTATTCTTCTTCTCTTGTTGTCATTTCTTCTTATTGGTAGTAACATGACAACAATACAGTAAGAAAAAAGACGACTCTTTAAATTCATGTCATTAAGGCCAGTTTTAATATAAAAACCATTATCGAGAAAAGGTTGTATCAGCATTATTTGAAAAATACAAAGTTAATTTTATTCTTTATTACATTATATCGCCATATCTCCACTCATCTCCGCTTTTAATAAGGCCACTCAGACCCTGTGTTCAATCTATATAATCCACTCCTAGAAAAAAAGAAAGAGTTAGAGAAAATAAAATCAAGAACGTAACTACATATTTGATGTTTTGATTCGATGTTCTAGTTTATCATGCGTAAGGCATGGGAGCACGATCGAACGAAATGATGAAAATTTTGTTTAAAATTAAGTATTAGTTCAACCAACGAAACAAATGAGCAAACAAAATTACCAGATTTTAGGTTAGCTATGATTTTCATGAATTTTTGTAGACAACGTCGCAAGCAGAAAAAGGTAATGGTATATATTGGTTTTGGTTTCAATACAATACAATTTGACTGAAAACATGAAACGTACCCTTCTTTATGTAAGTCAGTGTTGCCCATGCGCAGAGTATCTCCATTGCATAAGTTATTTTCAAGTTCGTCTTCATTAAGACATTTGAAGGCGATAAATCTATTGTATCTTACAGATGCTGCAACGTACTCGTAGCTTCTACTGTGGGAGCAGGTACTAAATAGGCATCCAGGTTGTGGATTCGTGCCTCCGTTGGGGTAAAAGTTATTTGTGCAAATAGGATCGTAGATACCCAAAATATGACCATCGGTATTTATACATTCCACGTATTTTCCGTCAGTGTTTCTTAGAGTTCGGTCCGTATCATCACCGAAACTTGGACCAGCCGGGTCCATAGCTGTAATTTGACAATATTACTTCAATTTAAAAAAAAACTCTTTGGTTCTTTTTTAGGAGATATAAAATGACTTTTTAGCCGGATTCTTATAGAAATTTCAAATTTAAATAAATTTAAATCTGTACCTGTAATACGCGCAACTTTTCCACCCACAGTACGTCCAGCATTCCCAGAGACGTGAGCTCCCAAACTGTGTCCCATTATATGCATTTTATCCCAGTCTCCACCAAAGTTGGACAACAACCACTCCAGGAATAGTCCAAGATTTTCACCTACTTCGTCAACGACGCCGGCGCTGACTGGGTAAAGAAGGCTCTGGCGTTTACTCCAATCAACAACTATAACGTTGTAGTCACCAACATGAAGAAAAGCGTCTCTCAATAAATGGTTAATATTTGATTCCCCATCATTATTCCATCCGTGAACAATAACAACGATTGGTAAAGATGCATTGTAGTTAGAGTTTTGTACTGAGTATACATCGCTAGATATCAACTCTTGCTTGCTGTACTGGTTTAATCTGTGAACATTACTTCATTACATTAATCTGCACATAAGAATAAATAGAATGACGGAACGTTAACTTAATTAATACATTTTAATAGTACCTGGTGTAAAGGTTATATATGTTTCTGCCGGACCTTAATGAAGTTGGGTCTACGGGTACGTGAAGGTCAACAAGATGAGGTACACCATCTCCATCAGGAATCCATATATACCGACTTACTCCCTTTTCGTAGTGACTGTTGTCACCTGGGGTAAGGGGGATGTAGTCAGGCGGGTAGATGCTACTACCAGCAGACACTGTAATTAATATTTTATTTAAACAATTTCTGCCAACGAAATTAATGTATGATTACGATAATTTGTTATCATTATTAATTTGATAAAACGTATTAATTGAATACTTCAAATATTAATTAATTCATTAATAATTCACACTATTCCGTATTTTATTAAATCTTAACGAATCATAACGTTAAATAGTTTTCACATGTTTCAACAAAAATCCGAGAATAATTTCAGTTTTTTTACATTTAACCTGTAAAAGGTTATATGAAAATTTTAATCTACACTTCTTTTCACTTACGAGCTAAGAAGGAAGACAAGAACACTGGTAAGAATTTCATGTCGACCGTCTTCGGGTGAACCTGTAATGTACTAAAAGCCTTCGTATTTATTAGACTATGCTTATCGCGAAGCTTGATATATTTTGTTATTACTACAAATCTTACGACATACAGGACGCTTAATAAATGTATGTTTATAATTATTCCAGTATCAATCAATCAAAAAATTAAGAAAAATCTGTCATCCGAAATAATAACCATTTAGGACCAAATTTTGTTAATAGGCAAGTGGATCTGTGATCAATTGAAACAACCTATTGCAAATCTTTGTGAATATATCAATTATATATAATAAACAAAAATTGAAAAATAAGTAGCTGAAATATGTGAAAGGCTGGTCAGTGATCCCAATTATTGTAAAAACTCAAATAAGTAAAAGAGTAAGGTAAACGTCAATACGTAGGCAAAGATATTAAAAAAAATAAAAAGTTAGATGTGTTTTTGGACACAATGTTCGTAATGTTACGAAATGTACAATATTTTGATATTTCAGAGAAATAACGTGTTCCTTTTTTGAAATTATAACAAATTCAATACAATTCAATTGCATTGAATTGTTTTAAAACACCCCGTACATCATTATTGATACCTTTATTTTATCTTATAATCGCAAAAATTTCCATAATACATACACAATGATAATAAAAAATAGACAAACAAGTGTTTCCCATTTCCAACTAAAAATGATAATAATATTTCAAATATGAAATAAAACTTTTAGTAGTTATTATAATTGTCACCTTAAAAGTATTATAATGCAAATAAAAAAAAATCGGAATGCAGCTTGATTGAATAGTAAAAACATCATAGAAATCGAGGAAAACGTTTGTATAGAGAAAATGCACGTAATAATCCTGAGTTTATAGTAAGATAGTATGTCAAAAATTTCAAGTTATTGGAAAGTATTTATTATTTATAGGAATTCGCTCATAAATTATTATTTTTATCAACTACAATTATTTATAATATATGAACTGTCGAGTTAACAAGTACGTTGCTCAGACAATATGTTTATTTTGTTGTATAATATTTGTTCAAATCAAATCAAAATCATTTATTCATATAGGTACACACTGAACACTTATGAACGTCAAAAAAGAAATACATATGAAATGCTTCTAATTTTACATTTACTGCCAGTCCTCAAATCAAGGGCGTAGAACGGAAGAGAAGAACTGGCAATAAACTCTCCACCACTCTTTTTAATTGCCTATTTTTTTTGTTTTACACAATGTTCGTAAGGAGCTGCAACCATTACACCATGTTCCACGTGACATCTTAAGTAATTAATAGTTAATTAATAATAATAAATTCAATTAAAAACAAAGATTTGTCCTCTATCAGCAGGAGGTGAAATAGGATTGTTGCCTGCATGAACTAACAAAAATTGCTCTAAAATGGCCTTTGTTTTGCTTAACATTAACATGGGTATAATTTTTCATCCATTATTGTAAGTAAATGTAGATAGAGTAATGACTATTACTATCCAAGATGTTGTGCAGCCCTGCGATTCTGTAACTCACTTTTCGAACTCACACAGCGGTTTTCGCATCGGCGGTCGCTCTCAAATCAGTCCTGAAGCATTCATTTTATGATTTGGCATTCTGAAAAGGTGGGAGCTTGTACAATAATGGATGAAAAATTATACCCATGTTAATGTTAAGCGAAAAGTGAGTTACAGAATCGCAGGGCTGGTGCCCATATTATATGTATATAATTATACAATTTATAGTAGCTATAAATTGATGCATGTTATAATTAGATTCCATGGGACTTGAATCTTCATATGAAATGTCGAATTTAACTAGTTAATAAAAGACTTAGGAGAATGTTTCCATCTAAACTAAGGCGCAACTTTGTACTAGAAAAATCAAAACGGACGAGGGGTCGAGTTACATAGTGCTTACATTGCGCTTTTCCCCACGGCGAATAACCTTTGGCCTGTTCTTCTCTATATAGCAAATCTTCAACTCTTGTTTAAAGGTCATTTGATATATACAAAAAAAAGTTTGGTAAATCCAAAAGGACACGCCTCATAGCGGTATTTCACATTTAAAACAAATCTAAAACAAAAACTCAAGTTTTTTAAAACAAAATAAAAAAAAAAATGAATGATTGAAAAAAAAAACAATAATATAATATAAAAGTATATAGTGGCGCCATAACTCTAAGGTGAGGAAAAAAAAATATACTAAAATAAATGTATATATAGATATACAAATACACAGTCGTATTTTAGTTTTTTACAAATTATAATTAAACGACAGTACTTCGAACGCTAATATTAACTAGGAATCAGCCCAGGGTATAACTTTATATAATAAGAAAAAAAGTATTCTGGTACGATAAATTTTTCGACCAATTTCTCTGCCACATACATGGATCCATAAACACAGACTGACGGACGTCCAAGAATGATTGATTTTAATGTTATTATTTACTATGTTAAACAAAATAATTGTTCATAAAAAATACCTTATGTGCTTGATAGATTATTTAACTCGATTTTAGTGCACTCATATTATCCTGTAAGTGTTATATTAGTGAGAAAAAAGTCATTCAAGTTTCGAAAGACTGGGTTTTTTGACATGTCGAGAGTAGAGCACTGCCTCCGCTCCGCTAATGAGGCGTGCAATTACAACTGCATCTCATTGATTTTTTTCTATTATAGATATTGACTAACACGGACCAGTATCCTCAAAAAATTGTTTTGGAAAAGAGAATCCATTGGTGGAAAGCCGAAATTTTGAATGCTATTTATAAAACACCGCTATACTATACCAAATATACTCAATATATAATCGAAGTTGTCAAATAAGGTTAACCACGTAAAACCGAATTCAACGCTGAAGAAGTTGCGAATATTTTATGATTTATGTTTTAATGTAAACATTCTAGCTATTCTTATATTTTTTTACTTATTTATAACATGCCATCGAGAACCTTGATTCACCAACCAGATAAGATAGATTCAATTGAAAAGATTAATGAACAAAACATCATATTTATGATATCTATCAGTGAAAGATATACTAATTCAAACATTTAACTCATTTTGATACAAAATTAGAATTACGTACGACGCTCCATTTTAAAGATCCCATTTGGATGTAAAATGTAAAGTAAAGCAGATAGTTATTTTTATTGAACTAAAACAATGTTTCTTAGATATAATATAAGTAAAAATAAAAATAAAATAAAATATAAACATAAGATACTCACTTATTCCACGTCATTAAATTTGAATTTGTAGGCATCCCTACTCATCGGCAAAAAAGACAGAGGGTGTAGGCCGAGAGAAAAAGCCGGCGTAAAAAACTCTCGGTACTCTTTTAAAAAAAGCACGGCACACGGCTAAACAATGTTTGTCGGGTCAGCTAGTTATACTATATATTGAGAGATGATATAGCTATCTTGTTTTGCGCAACTTGATAACCAATTTAGAAGAAAGAGGGCCCTTGAAAGTCATGATATTACAGCCAGTTTCAATATAAAAACTATCGAGAAACGGTTATAAGGATTATTAGTAAAATACAAAGAGCGTAACATATTAAATTATAATTACTAAATAATAGTAGTTTATCTCTATGTTGCGTTTAGTAGGGCCACAGATGCAGAGTTTTCTCTATAAAGCCCACTCCTAGAAAAAAGATAGAGTAAAGAAATCAAGAACGTAAATACATATTTAAAACTAGATTTGATCTTCATGTATCTTTTATTCGATCTTCTAGTTTTTTGTTTATAATATTACTAAACTCACATGACCACAGCTGTGTGAAATAAAATGTTGTTATTCAAAATTAAGTAGTAGCACAACCAACCAAACAAATAAACAAAGAAAATCTTCAGTTTTAGTATGGATTTTGCAGAATTTTATTGGATTTTGTTTGATACCTACATACAATTTATATCTGAATAAAATATAAAGATAAGATAAAAATTGGTTCTGAGATAAAAATGATATTTTATTGCTAAAATAGTCAAAATGTTTACCTTCGATCATCTATTTACTAGACTCTTCGTTCATCTCAGCAGCTCATAAAGCAGCAAATGTTATAGGTTTCTTGTTAAATGTTTAGGACAATACCATATAATTTCTTAGGTATTGGAAAAAAGTAACCAACGCCGAGAAACCAATATTAGTCGTTTCGTGCCTACATTTTCTTCGCCATCTATAGATATTATATTAAGTATTTTTTAATTGTTTACATCATTTATTTCTTGAAATAGAGGTTGGAAACGGGCCTTCTGTAACAATAACAAACTTCTATTTTACTAAGCCAAATGCTTATAGTTAGATATAATTTTTTCGTAAAAAATGCGGTATTTATAAATATTATTTTATAAACTTACCCCAATATACATATAGATTGTCCTATGTTAGAATATTTAAAACAACTTTTCACTACGCTAAACATGGCTAACTCACTGGTAAATCACGATTTCACCGAGGAAAGGGCAACTTTTAATTTGACGTAAAGAATCGACTTTACTGCTCATTTTAATTCGCATGAGATGTCAAATGGTATTATGAGAATGCCAAATACCAACAATTTTTGAGCGTAAGTGTGTTGAGTGTCAAATTTTAGTTCCAAATGTAAAAAATCTCATTTGAGCGGCGCTTTTATTTATCAGAATATCAAATTGATGACACCTTCACGATTGATTTAAGAGCAAAACCGCTGTGAGTGTTTGAAGAGTGAGTTACAGAATCGCAAGGTAGATGAAACTTGTTACTCTAGCACACTTCTGCAAAATAAAGGCATTTTATACAATTTATTTTTATATTAGGCCCATTTTTTTATTTCTTATGTCTTTTACTAGTTTTATTTATATTATCAACATTAAATTATTCTATAATTTACAACGGCTTATTTAATAGTATATTGGTAGGGTTGAATTTTGAGATATTGTTCAAATGTTCATATTTAAAGTATTTAAATAAAATATAACTAGTCTGGCCATAAAAACTTTTATTTTTTTCAACTTTTTAGTTATTT